GGATGTTGACTTTAGGATCCCTATTTCTGTCTTTATTATTAAATAATTCCTGCAAATATTCTAAAATATTTGGTAAATATTTTAGTCTGAGTATCTTCCATGTGTGTGTATTCTTTGTATACATTTCACCATACTAATCACTTTACTTTGAATGTTGTCTTTTTCTATGCTTGTAGCAGGCAGTCCCGTTGTCTTCCCCACCCTCTGGGACTGGGACATAAGGAGTCTGGTCTCTATCTTATGACCATGTTTTTCCACCCTCCAGAATCAGTTTTATGTCTTCATCCTGTCCTACTCCTGCTCTCCTGGTTCTTGTCTGTTTTTTAAGCAGATTGTTTTGCTTGTAATGCTTCCAAAGTGACTGCTCATACTGTAGATTCGAGGAATACCAAACAGTAAAATGTAGAAATAGGCAGCTCATTTTGTCACTTCTAATTATAAATGATGACAAAAGAGAGCAGAAATTCTTTTGTCAGAAATCCGGTAAATGGACTTGCATTTGAATTAAAGCTGAAAATGCAAACTTTTCTTTTGGAGACTGGGGTCCGATCTTTTGTAGAACTACACAGGGGAGATGTGATGTTTCGTTGGGTGCAGTTAGATGGCCTAAATCCATCTTGGAGCAGGGTCAGTTTTCTGTCTCCCACCTGCATACTCCTGATGCCTCCCTTCTGCATTATTGTTCACATAGTAGCAAAAACCTCTTAAATAACATGAATGTTCAGGATTTGAATCACATTTCTCACCTGGCTGACCATTCAGCTCAGATTGCAAGCTCTGGGACAAGGGACCAGGGCAGACGTGCGTGGCCAAGGAGAAGTGCGCACTCGCTGGTGGTGATTTGTGCCTGTTGTGAAATCATGCCCTGACCTCTTTCTGAAGAGTACAGTTCTGTTTTTCACTTAGTGCGTAATGACTTTCCACACAAAAAGTGAAAACGGCTCTGCTGGATACTAACTTAAAAAGAAAAAGGACCCAAGTTCTTCTGGCAAGCTCATGTTTTCCAGTTCCTTTTGTAGGAGCAATGGTTTTTGACAGTGTAAATCTCTTATCTTCATCTAAAGCGTGAGAAAAGAAGGCAGGTTTGTTGGGTGGTAAATTACCCTGCCCCTGCCCAATTTATATGCAATAAAGAAAGAGCTGCTTAACAATAAACGAGTGAGCATGAATGTAGCATTAAGGCATGATTTGCATCAGTGCAACTACGGAAATCAGATGCTAAGTTTAACATGTCTTCTGCAATGTACCATCTGTTTAGCTGTCCCACTGCAACACATCTGTCTAGGCTGTTCATAGTGGCGCTCACTCAGTGGAGGGCTGAGTGCTTCCAGAGATCTATTTATGAGGATTCTCTCTGAGAAGAAGGGGAACTGTTCTGTTTTGTTCTGCTTAGCTTTGTTGCTTTCCTTTAGAACTTGATAGAAGCAGAGCACATGCACTGGGTAATAAACGCTAGCTCGTTCTGTCTCCGCTGGGTCTTCAGTGGAAGAAGCCCAGTAACAAGTGTGTGGTCTCAACAAGAAGTAGCTTTGGAGACAGGTTCCTGGTCCTGTTCCCAGTTCTCAGTTGGCTCATTTGTAAGCCACTTAACCCTTCTGTCTTTATTTCATTTTCTTTCCCCTATCTAAGTGCCATCTGACAGGCATTCTTAACTAAAAAGGCATTTTGCTATTTCTTAGCTGCTTTTTGGAAATAATTCCCAACACCAGTGCCTCTATCTATCGTGGACTTCTTTTAACTTCCATTGTATCTCATGAGTTTTAGGCACTTCAAAATAGCCAAACGGTGTATTTCAGAAATCCCATTCTGAAATTCTCAGGCCCTTGGAACAAGATCAGTCCCAAGGGCAGAGTTGCAGCCACAACTTTGGCTTTCTTTGTGTCAGGTAGAGCTCAGAGCTGTCTTTCATGTGTCTCTTCCCTCTCCTTTTGTGTTTATGAATGTGTCATGTTTATCATAAGCTTTATTACATTAAACTTGCATAATTCATGTCATAAAGTTGTGGTAATCGTATTGTGTGATTGCAGATTTAAAAAGTTGATATGAGGGTCGTGTCCTGTATCTGGCGACTTCACTTGTAAACAATACAAGCTTTTGGTTGAAGGGAGGAGCTTTGTCTCTTACCTAATGTTCATGTGCCATCAAAAATGTGCTTACAAACGGAAAGGAGATGTGCACAGACTGTCAGCCTGAATTGGTGGTGTGGGTGGTTCTTGGCAAAGCATATGAGTCTCTGAAGCCGGTGAGGAAATTTTTAACCATGGTGTCACAAACTTGATGCGTTAGCAACAGATGTCATTTTCAGAAGCCTCTGCTTTCTTAGGGAGCACAGCATGCGAGCAGTATTCACAATCTGCATGCAGAACGCACAGGGGTTGATGGCATGAAATCATGTCTCTTAATACACGCTGGCTAGAAGAGCACCTTGGTGTAATATTGTGAAGCTTTGGCTTTGGGGCTTAATTAGACCAAGACGACGGAGCTCCGTGTCGTGCATGGGAAGTCTGTCTGAAGAATGTCAATGAACTGAAAGTCAGAGCAACCATTCTGTTAAAACAATACTTAGCTCTTGCCCCATGTGGTTTTATTTGAGAGCTGAATGCTGATGTGAGTGAAGTAAAATAGGAAAATCCTCTGCTTTCTATCCTTTTTCTTTCATCTTTCCATGCATGCAAAAAATAAAATGAAATTCAGAAGGGGTGTGAACTCTGCTACACTGGTAGGAACTATTTCAAATTAGCAAGATAAAATGGGACCGCTCTGCTAGTGCACAAAGACTTCATCTAAATTGAAGTCTCTTGGGGTTGAGAGCTACATAGTGCACCAGGGGCAGTTAAGCCTGGCAGTCGTGTTTGAAATATTGAAGGTGGTAGTTCCACACAAATGAAGGGGAAGTAGCATAAAATAAATGGCATTGATCCAGCATAACATAGAAAGAAGAGAGGAGTGTGTCTGACCTTGCTGTCTAGCTGATATGGTCTGTCAGTATTTGTGCGTCACCAGCATGCCTGAGCAAAGAAAGAACTTGCACTGGTCCCTCAGCCTTTTGGTGAGGTACAGATTTATTGGGATCTGAAGGGGAATAAAGTAAAAAAACCCAGTAATAAAAACCCCAGTCCCAAAAGCTGTCTGTGGCTCTGGTGAGTCAGCGTTTCCATCTGACATGACCAAATCATGGAGATTTTTGCAACTCATCCAAAAAAAACCCCAACCAACCAAAAACCAAAACAACCAGTGACCTGGGTCTCAGCCTGAAATTCATTTGCTTTGCAGAAACAAGAGGGTTTGAGTTATTGCAAGTGCAAATTTTCCTTGAAGAAATTTGTATGTAAAAGCCTTTTTTTGTTTTTTCTTTCTTTTTTTTTCTTTTTTTTTTTCCTTTTTTTTTTTGCATTTGTTTATCTCCAAAACAGGTTCATTTTTTAAAATGAAAACTTGAGCCTTCGGTCCCTCCTGTGGACAAATAGCCTTACCCAAGGTCTTGTTTCATTTTAGAAAAATGAATTGCTGCGCCGGTGGGGTAGTATTGGAATGCTTTCAAAGTTCCTGTCAGTGTTTTAGTTTTGGTTCTTTTTTTCTTTTGTTTGTGGACTTGCTGTGCCTTTTGCCCGGCCATATTTAGTCTGCCTACTAAATGTTAGTCCGCCCAAACACTTTACTTTGTGCACTTAGCTTTGTTTTCCTTTATTTTTCCTTTCTCCTTTTTTCTTTCTTTTCTTTTTTTTTATTATTATTATTTTTAATTTCTCTTTTGCTTTCACCCAGATGTATTTTAGACCGAGAGAGACTTTGCTCCATGGGCCGGATTTTAGTCCGTGCACTATATTTTAGTCCGCAGACTAAAAATAATCCGCGGATTATTTACTAACTCAATTCCCTCACTGAGAACTACAGAGACCCAAGACTCCTGCTGAGCCGTACATCCGAGGGGCTTCCCGGCTTACAGGTCCCACTGTCTGCCTGTCCTCCCACCCCTTCCCACCACGGAGCGCCAGCCCGGCATCGCCCCAGCATTGGCGCTCCGTGGCATGGAAGTGCTGGTGTACCCATTGCTGCAGGCGGCAGCCACTCGTGTAGTTCTCCGTGGGTGAATTGGACAGCTTTCCTGGTGGAACTGTGTTGAGTGGGAAGCACTAAAAGACCGCAGGGGGTTTTGCTTTTATTTCTCAGGGTGTTATTCGAAAGGGAGGTGGGATGGGACAAATTGAGGGGAAAAAATTTAAGTAACGGGTGCGACGGGTATGAGGGGAAATAAACCCACAATAGAGAGCCAATTCAGTCCATACCCGCACTCCTGAGGTGGTACGTCCAGTTCCTGAAGAATCCTAAAGAGATAACGCCAGCAAACAAAATCCAGTGGCGGGGGAAGTCAATCCAAAATGGAGAATAATCCGCGGCGGCCTGAGGCACTCATAGCTCACACAAATTAAAAGCATCCAAATTCCAAAGTAAAGTTCTCGGATTTTTCCTTTCTCTTCAGCACAAATTACAAATTGCTGGGGTTTGGGTACTTTTGGGAAAAAAAACCAAAACCACCCAAAATTTGCATTGTGTCTCTGGGACAGATTTACCAGTGGGATGCACCTTTGGGGACAAAATAACCTGGCCCCGTTTGTCTGTGGACGTTTATATCCAGGACCGAGGACTGAAAATTCTTTATGATGGGAATTTCAATTACCCTTTTAGTTCAAGTTAGAGTTTTGATTTCAATTTTTTTTATTTTTTTAATAAATGCACTGGCATTGGAACATAAATTTAATATAGAAATGTTTCTATACTATGCCTCACCATTGCACAATCGATTTTTTGGCATACACTGTGGTGAAGTTGGACTTGCTGCTATGGAGACTGATGTTTAAAGTTTCTAATTGTATAAACATTTTCTATGTCCCCCACACCATGGATTTCTTATAATATTGGCTATATTTTTCCTTGCTGGACTATTCTCTTTTGGATTGACTCCCCCTGTTTGGATTATTTCACTGCATTATCATCTTTAGGACTCGTCAGGAACAGGACATTTCACCTCAGGAGTACGGGTATGTACTTAAACATTTTCTCAAATTACTAGGCCTAGCCTTGAAACAGTGGAATATTTGAGTTCAAACCACATCTTTGAGGCAGCAGCCAGGCAAATGTTGTACCATGCAAGGTGACAGAGATGAGATGAGTACCGACCGTAACTCACTTCATGTTAGTCACCGCTTGTTGTAGGGGAGGCCATGTGAGGCCTTCCTTTTCCATTTATTCCCCCCCCCCCCCCCCCATCCCTGGTTTAAAGCAGTCAGGGTAGACTTCAGGAGCTGCCAACCCCAAGTAACTCATTTTAGAGCCAAAGGCAGGCTGAACAATTCTCAACAGGGCTTAGGAAATGGGCGCTAGGGTTTCACTGAAAATGAGTTTGGGTGGACAAAGGAGCATGCCTACAGATGGCAGATTGGTGACTGGTGTCTAGTGAGCTCAAGGTACTTTTCATCCTTGCTTTAAGGAAAACTATTCCTTTTTCTTTTTTCCCTTTTAAAATCTGTGCAATAGCTGATATGTGAGCTGTCCTGAGGGAAAAACACAGCCAAGAGTCAAGTACTTCAGCCTCAAGCTGTGGTAAATCAAGCCTGTTAAAACATCAGTGTGAAGGTTCATGAGGGAAATCTTGGTAGTTTTACTCTCATGTTAAATACGGAGCAGCTTCTCTTGTGTGGATTTACCTCAAGACAAACTCATTTGTGCTACTTAGTGAGGGGCAAAAAACGAAAAGAGCTGTTTTGGGTTTTTTTTTTTTGCTAGAGATTTTATCGTGGTCAGGCTGTGGCTTGGGAGTGACGCTGGCGTCCACTGTGCACTGTGGTCAGCAGCCCAAGCTCTGCCAGCAGCATGCAAAAGCAGCTTCTCCTGCCCCTCCATGGACTCACGGCACAGTGGTCAGCTGAGGTTCTTTGCCAGCAGTGTTAAGCTGATGCCTTTCTTTTTGTCAGTGTAGGCCTCGTGTGAAAACTTTTTTGGTTTGTTTTTCAACACCCCAGTAGAAATCAATTGTGCTTTTTGGGTACCTGGCTCTTTGGCTCCCCGAGTCTGGATTCCCTGCCACACCAGTTAGTACAGCACGCACTGCAGCGGTCCTGGGTGCTCCCGAGCCAGCTGGGCACCAAGGGGATAAAATCTCAGTCTCTGGAGAGCTTAGCATTTGTGTTTGATTCTCATTCAAGAGAGCATATGTGTCTTTGGTTTAAAATGTACTTAAGAAGTGCCTGTGCAAGTTCCTCATCTGTGATTAATGAGCATGTCATGCACTGAACTGTACTTATCTCTTGTTTTGCTCTTTAGTGCCATGTGGCTTGGGTTCACCCACAGTGGGGCAAAAGCATTTTGGGTTAGCTCCATTTTTACTAAAAAAGCTGGCATCAAAATTTAACACTTGCAGCCACCCCACTCCCTTTTCCCCAGCCTGTATATCACTTGCAGCATAGCAAGGCAGAAGTACTTGAGGGGACCATCCACGTCATTTTAACTCATATTTTGCTTTTGACATAATGAGAAAGGAAGATGGGGGTGTGATTAGTGGTGGGTAGGACTGTTTAGAGGACTGAAACAAAGCTGCAGTGAAGAGCTCCTATTTGTAATCACTCAAGGTAAAAAATCTGTTAAATAGTTGGTTCTCTTGACACAGTTTTCAGCTGTCCTTACAAATACCAAATGTGCAGGAATTATCCCAATAAACTTACGGGAATGACTTGCCAGAATAAGGTCACGGAAGAAGTAACTTGCAAATTAGAGCTAAGACGTTTCCTGCACCCCACCCGTGCTTTCCTTGTTGTTCTCCAAAATTGAACAGCAGCCTCCATAGCAACAATCTGACCTGCCTGCCTGCAAAAGTCCGTGTTAGTAAGGCTTCATTCTCTGGCCACAAAAAAAAGCACCCCAACCCGAAACCATAGCAAGGGCCTTATTCAGTTTTTACATTCAGTGAATCCTGCTCATTTGAACCCTCCTCCCCACCTCCACTCCACCCCATGTGCATGGCTGGAAGCACCTCTGTGTGTTTATCATGATTTTTGGATGAGTTTCCCCTTCATTCTTCCAGTTGTTTTTTTTTGAGTGCGCTCTCATGACGTCTCTTGCTGGCATTGCACCTTCACTCTAGTGCAAGACATTGCAATTAACCCTTTCTCAACCCCAGGAACTGGATTTTCCCATGCTTACTGGAGGACTTTGATTAGCACAATCCACAACTTGTTTGTTCCAGCTTGTTGGGCAATGAGAGGTTTAATTGCTCTGACTTGCTTCTGGTCAGCACAGAAAAGAAACATACCCAGACAACCTGTTTCTCCTGGCTTGTTTTCTGTTTTTGTCTTGTTTTAGGTCTTCCGGCCCCGCACTCCACCAGAAGCAATCGCGCTATGTAGCCGTCTGTTGGAGTACACCCCCACTGCCCGCCTGACTCCCCTGGAGGCCTGTGCGCACTCTTTCTTCGATGAACTACGGGACCCAAATGTCAAGTTACCAAATGGGCGAGAGAAACCTGCACTCTTCAATTTCACCACTCAAGGTAGCCTGTGAGCGTTGAAAGATCCCTTCTTTAGGAAGGAGCGCTTGGATAAATGTTTGCTGTGATGCAGGTGTCACTCCCCCAAACGTAAAAGTCTCTGAGCAGGACTAAGGTTATTAAGTCGTTCCATAACCATCTCTCTGTTTCAAACAGAGAGGAAAGGGACTTTGGAGAAATGGGTTATGGGATTTTCAGATGCCTGGTGCCTTCAATTAAAATCTTATGCAGGGTACCAAGGGTTGTTACTACTGGATTGCATCAAGAAGGTTTACATTTGCAGTTCAGTGTCTGCATCCTGGCTGCTGGCTTTGTGTGAAGTATCACGGTCAGCAGACCATGGAGATGAGATTATGGTTTGGAGGTGATCCTGCTCCACCGTACCTAAGTGCCATAGCGAGCGGTAATGCATATTAGGTTTGGCAGGGAGGTTTGTAGTGTTGCTGCCCATTTTGGTTCTAGGTATGAGATAAATACAGAGGTGTTAGTGTCCTGATTTTATGTTCTATACAGTTCATCTGGCATCACGTTAACTCAGTCATTTAGAAACTCTAAAAATGGCAGATAACTAGCTTTTTATTTGAAGGCAGACCAGTATCAAATTTTAAAGCCATTGATGTGTGGTTTGGGTTTGTTTTTTTTCAACACAAGTGAAAAATGTAAAACTGATATCCCCTTAGAACAGTTTTGCCTGCCGAGACAGAGAATGTGAGAAGTATGGCATATAAATATGCTAGTAATTAATTCTGGAGCTTTCTTGACGCGATTAGCTGCCAGTTCGCATCCTTTAAGCAAGAACAGATCTATGTGCATTTTCTGTTGAAAGTCCAAACCACCTTTTGGCTGAGTTAGCATCAGTGTAATTTTTCAGCCTCTTTTGTGCATGCAGTGCCCATCTGCCAAACTGTGAAACAGATCCCTCTCCTTCAACATGTGGACCCTTTCATTTAGGAACAAGAACCAAGGGTGGCAGGAAGAGAGCCAAAAAGCTTTGTGTCCGAAGCACAAACACCTTAAAGCCATCAAGAAAAGAGCTTGTGCTTCCAGGTCACTGTCCTCTGTGCTGATTTTTGCATCTACTGTTATGAATTTAGTAGCTACATCACAGTTCTTTCCTTATTACAGTACCCATGAATTGCCTTTTCTGCCCACTCAAAGGCCGTCTTCAAGTAGCTAAGATGGTTCTGCTCCCCGTATCATAATACCACTTCACCCCTGTTCTTTGTGACGTTATTTCCTACTGTTTCTTAGTGATGTTAAGATTGGGCTCATCTACTGCATGAAAACCAGGATTTTAGAAAGAGTTGGGAAGCTTTATAATGACTTTCAGGAAAAATCCTTAGGGGAGAAATAAATGTATGTATTGGGAACATGTCCCTGGTTTTCCACTAGCCAGTGTGGAAACTGCTGGGAAAGCTACCCTAATGCTTAAGCAAGTTTAAAGCTCCTTTGCCCTCCTTAAGGAGCTGATGTGCTCTCCCCTTGCACAGTGACTCATGGAAATGACAAGATCTCCTGGAGCAATTTCCTTAAGATTCAAAAAAGCGAGTTTCTGTCCTAAGCAGGTGCCAGTTTCACCATCTAAAAAGGGAAGGCAGGGCAGAGACTGGCCATGAACACATTTTCGGATAAGCTCTGGTGTAGGTGACCAACCGAACTCAAATAACAAAAGTTGAGTTTTTTTCTTTTTAATAAGTAATTCCATTGCTTAGCACAGTGATTTTAAGACCTTTGTATTTAACAAATGTGCATCAGTGAGTCTCACGTATCAACAGTCCTGACTGCAACCAGGGAAGTGGTGGAGTCACCATCCCTGGAGGTGTTTAAGAGACTGCTCTGGTGCTTAGTGACATGGTTTCATGGAGGACTTGGCAGTGCTAGGTTAATGATTGGACTGGATGATCTTAAAGGTCTTTTCCAACCTAAATGATTCTGTGATTCTGAGTTACACAAGAAGCTTTTGCTCCTGCTGTGACCACTCTGCAATCCTTGCTCTTTAGCCAGACTGTGCAAGACTGTTGAATTGGCTAGTCCAGAGCAGAAATCCCAACTGGGAAATAGATCCAGTTATTGGAATCAAATGATGACTCATGTTAAATCATCTGTGGTAATTTAGAAAGCGATGAGAGACATCCTTTTGTTTTGAGGAGCATGTGTTTTCAACAGATAATATTAAGTTTTTAGAAGTGTTTTATTTGGCTGTATCCAGTTGCCTGAAACCCATGAAGTAGGAGGTAGCTGCAGAAGGCTTGAAGGCAAACCTGTTAGAAATAACAACATAAATCTGACCATTAATGCACTGGATTGATTCTCAGAAAGAACTGAACTGTCACACCAGATCTGCTGATCTGAGAAGTGATGCTGCTCAGATAGAGTCTAGAAAACTAAGTGAGAGTATATGGAAGATAAAAGATCATGGCCTTGGCTGCCAGCAGGATTTGCAGGGCATGTTGGTGCTTACTTTATTGTAGAGATGGGATCTCTCGAAGAGAGCTTTATCTGGTCGTTATTAATGTCTTACCTTTAAGTTCCTATTGCTGTTTAAACAAATATTATACGTTAATTGGGGTTTGAAGATAGTGTTTTGGCCAAAGAAGTATCTCCACTAGCCACAGATCTGGCTGTTGGACTTGCAAGACAGAAAGCATGGAAAGCATTTTTTTCTCATAGAAGCTGAATTTTCAAACAATCTGTGAAAATGACTACCCTAAATTTCCTGAACTTGTTGTAACATGTCAGTGGTTGAGCTGGGTCACAAATGTTACTGTCACTCCATGTTGGCCATTAAACACTGTAAAATCATTCTGTGATTCAGCACTTAGGAATGGTTGTGCATTTCTAACCCAAGTGTTTCAGTGTACTATTTGAGTGCCACCTAGGTTTTTCTTTTAAGACAGTATTTCTGCTCAGGTCCTAGAGAGGACAGTGGGACAGAACGAAACTTGCGCAGAGTCCAGCATTCTTCCAGGCTAAGGAGAAACTGCTGAAACAGCCTGAGTTACATGGAGTTTGTTATTGTGACAGAGCAAACTGATACGAGACTAATTTTTCCAGGGGCTTATGGGAATGTTGATAAATGAAATGTCACAATGCTGATAAAGAGCACTGCACTGTTTCCCAAGACCAAGCATTTTCTTGTGTCTGGGGAATGAAGACGATCTGGTGTTCTAGTGAAGCAGACATTTTCATTCCCATCCCAGACACACGTCTCCTTACTGGATATGTAAACTGGCTGCGAATGGCATGATTTGATCAGAGGTGTTCTCCCAGCTGATGTGAATGGGGGTTGGGTCTCATAAATGAATTGGGATAGCAGCTCTGTTAACATCATGGTATTGAAAGTTTTGTTTGGATTGCCTTGATCACAGTACCTTCTTGCCGCAGCAGTATTGGTTGTAATTAATCTAGCCTTGAATTGCAAGTTTGATTAGTTAAGCAAGCTACAGTTCAACAGCTTGACCTTCTCAATACTTTGGCAACTGCAGATACTACAGGTCAAGCTTTTTGCATGGTATTGACATGTCTCATCCTTACAGAGGTGATAGCAGCATAAATATGATAGAACAAAAATGCAAACAAGTTCTCAAGCAAAGCTGCTGATAAACTTCAGCCAAGAGTTCAATTTGTGATCATTTCTTGTCTGAATTAGCATGCTCCTGAGGGAAGCATCAAGACATTCAGAGCACGCTGAATTTAAGAAACTTCATACCAAGAAAGATAACTTGGGGGTTGAGACAAGAACAAGATGAGTCTTGTAGTCTCTGTGCGCATTTGTTAAAGTAGCTTCAGAGAAATGGTTGCATTTACCTTAAAACCAAAAAACTCTCTATACATGCCGTAATGGGTGCTGCAAAAGATGGTGTTCTGATGGCACTGGGTGAACATATGGGAGTAATGAGAATGGGGTTGAAGTGCCTTGGAAAGGTGGTGTTCTGTTGGATCAGCTGCATCTGTGGCTGCAGTAATGCAGACAGTCTTATAGCTCCATCCTCAAGACACCACTTAGCACTGGAAGGTTGCAAATGTCATTTGGTTTCCTTGATGGTGCAGCTCTGCCTTTGTTTGGGTCATAGCTGCCAGTGATGAGCAGAAAATAATGAGGGAATGATAAAAACTTCCAGAAAGCAGCAGATTCCCACTAATAGATTTGAGAAACAGCTTGGATAAAATATTAAAGGAGCAACATTTTCTAGCACAGAGCAGCTAATACCCAAGGTAGTATTAAAGTATAGGTTTATCACTGCTGTTCAGCTTTGACACTTGAGGATTCACGTTTCTTCAGTTTATTTTTCCGTTTAAAGTGAAGACTTACAAATGCTGAATTATTACAAACATATGAATTGTGAATTATTCCCACATGAATTTGAGGATTAGTATTTGTACAAACGTTGTGAGTAGTGGGGCTTTGTAGGTGGGCTAGCTAGGTCTGTTTAGACATGAATGGAGAATTACAGGATAGACTGGATGGGTTGTAGGTAATGTAGCAACTTCTGTTTGGTTCTAGACTGGAGCTTAGATTCATAAGTGCTGAAACACAGTCTCAAAATGTGTGGCAGTGAGCAGGTGAGAGTCTTCTGCCTCTTGCCCTCACAGCTGTAAAGAAACTTCATGTAACTTAACAGAGAAAGAAAATGAAATTGCTTAGTAGACTTCTGATCCCTTTAGGCCCTAAGTTTAAAGCTTGTGTTAAAGAGAAGCAATAGACTCTTGAAAAGAAGCACAAATAATTGAAGACTTTGTACGAAACTCCCTTACTGAACACATGGTGTGATTTGGATAGCCCTTGCTATCTGGAGGTCTTATGTAAAAAGCTGTCTATTCTCATTTCTCCTCCAGATGACCTCCTGGAGCTCCAAAATTCGTCAGTCTCCTTTCTGTGAGGTGACTGTTCACATCCTTCTCTGGAACTGGATGCTGCTTTCTCAAGAGGCAGCCAGTCACTCCTGTTTCTGAAGCAAACAGGACCTGTCTTGTCTGCTCAGTTCCACCTTCTGTGAGGCACTAGATTCTCTTGAAAGGGTGCCAGAAGATTGTCATTTGTTGGCAATGTGTAGCCCTTATCCTCCCACAGTTGTGGCTATAAGATGCCTATTTTTCATTCTGATACATGTTGAAGCTATATTAGATTTGGAGCCTAAAAGACATGACTATTTTAGCCTTGGTTAATGTCCTCAGAAAGAATGGTTGCATCATTTTGTTGTCCATTTAAATTGCCGTGATGATCAATTCCCTTTGCTTTTCCTTGTGCTTTTAAAGGAGGTGCCACCTCTTCTTGGCCTCGCTCAAGGAGTCTGGTCTTGGGTTCCTGGGTCCTTGAGAAAGTGATGCTAAGAACCAAATCCCTTAAGCTCTTTGGAGCAACTGTTGGAGCTGCTTGCTTGCTGAACCTGTGCCCAAAGTAGCACCACTGTTATCAGCCTTAAGACTGATTGCAAGTGGGTTTGTGAAGGGAATCCTTCCAGTGCTTAGAAGGAAACAGCATTATCAGGCTGCTGATAAGGAACAGGCTTGGCTGGTTCTTTGCTAACTCCCAAGCTGCTGTCTTTCTCTAGGAAACAATTCCATGCACCACTACTTGTAGTTCTGACAGTCTTGCTCTGGAGACTGCTTTGCTGAATATCCCTGTGGTTTCCTCTCGCTGGTTGGCAAAGAAGAAAATGTAACGTGACCTTTGGCTGTAAAGGCATGCGTTTCACCCAAGGTTGCTGTTACGTGGGGATCCCCAGGAGCTGAAACTGCATGCAGGGCTCTTCGTGGTCGATGAGCTAATGTGTTTTGTTCCACCTCCCCTCCAGAACTGTCAAGTAACCCATCTCTGGCTTCGATCCTCATCCCTGCTCATGCAAGGAACCAAGCAGCTGCTTCAACCCCTACAAACGCTACAGCGGCCTCAGGTGAGAACATGCAATTGCCTGCCTCCCTCCCCACCCTCGCTCCCCCTGACCAGGCACCTTCCTTCTGCTGAGGCCCATGAGCTGCCTTGGCACAGGGTGAACGGGGAGGAAGGACTTCTTCCAACATCACCTAAAACTTGGTCTTGGTGGGTGGTCACTGGGGTGCTGGCAGTGGTCACCAACCCAAATCCTAACCCAGGGCACTTTAACTCTGCATTTGACCTTATAGTTTGTTGGTCCTTCTCGCTCAGACTTCCACTATTAATAAAATCACCTGTTGTTTTTTAGCAGTCCTCATGGGTTGGTTTGCACCTAAGTTCTGAGCTTTCAGCTGGTCTGAAATTAATACTGAGTTGGAGCATGAGCTTGCGCTAGATGCCCAAGAAGAAAAGAAACAGCTAGCTCAGTACACGTGGCCTCTGTGGAGCTTGGATGCCTTCCCCAAAGGCATTAGCACTTAAAAGTCTACTTAGGGAGTTCAGTCATTGTGCTCACTGCCTCGCCTAAGTAGTTGCAGTTGCTTCTTATTGAGTTTGCTTGTGTCAACTTTGGGTATGAGGCAGATGCTTTTTTGGCCAGCACTGAGTGAAGTTTTTTCTTGCCTCTGTTGCTCGCTCTCAAGTTTCTGTCAGAAACCTTTTAAAAGCTCACTGTTGGCCTGTAGCCACTCCGTACTGTATTCAGTTCCCAGTGAAAGCTTAAAAGCCTGCTAATATCAGCTGGGAGACTCCCAAAGAAAATCCCAGGTGCTGCAGGATGTGGTAGAGGTGATTCAGTACATGGCAGTCTTCCTCTGAGTCAGCAAACCAGCCGGCTCTCTTGGGAATTGGGCAACCCAAGGCAGGCTGCAGAATGGGTGTGCTTCTCTACGTAGCTTGTGTGCATGTCAGTCCCATCTGAGAAGGGCTCTGACCCCATTTGGAGGTGCAAAATGCCTACTCAGTGTAAAATAGCTGATAAGGGGAAGCCCTAATTAAAAAGGTAGTATTGAAACCTGAAGGAAAGCATTTGCAGGTTGGTGCGTTGGACAGTTACCTGATGCGCTTGGTCCAGCCTGTGCTGTATAGAGAGCGTTTTCATACTCCAGGACAGCCAGATGCACCCAGATTTGAAAGATGAGGCCTCCCTGAAGATGTAGTAGCAGTAGGTAAAAGATACAGCCTGTACAATTGTATGTCCTCTGAATTTAGGAGAAAGCAAAATTGGTATCCTCAAATTTAGTATGTTTGTTTCATACACTTGGCAGTATTTTGGAGATAGTCATGTTCTCTGTTTCCCTTTTCTGTGCATCTGTTGCTCAACAACTGAGAGAAAAAAAGCAGATGAAGTAAAATTGATTGGAAAACTACAGAATACACGCATGGAAAATTATTTCAAGCCCTCTGAAAAATATTGTTTCACTTAATGTCCCCTTGATGACTTTTAAGGAGTTCTCTTTGTCAAGATACAAGTTTTGAGGAATTAATGGGGTTAAGAAATCTGTTTTCACCCACCACTTTCCAAGAGCTCATATGGGGAGAAATGCGTTTAGGCTGAGTCCTAAATGTGAAGTATACCCAAAAATAAAGAACAACAAAAAACCTCACCTTATTGATGTCAACAGTTTTAAATCTATTTGCAAGCACCGCACCAAGTTGAGACAGGACCTGTTATTCATAGTTCATGAATTCATATTCATGGAAATACCCTTGCAGCTTGGAGAAGAAGTTGTGAGATGAAGTTCAGTATTGGGCAACTTGCAGCTTTGTGTTTCTGCAGCACGGCCCACTGGTAGTTTCTTATTCACATGAGGGTCTCACAGCAGGCAGTGGGAATTCCATGGGAGTTGTGATTTTTAGGATTAGGCCCTGTATGCAGTTATGTTAATCTGTTGTGCTTTGCATACTGATGCCACACTTAGCAAGAGATTCTCAAATAAGGGGTCCCTTCTTTCCCTATGGCCCTGCACATCCCAGAGCAGTAGATTTCTACTCCTTCAATAGCTGCTAAAGCAGCATGGGAGCAACTCTCACCTAACCAAGGGCATCCTGATGGCAGGAGATGTTTCTGCAACATGTGGCTGAACAGTAGAAATTCAGAAACTAGAAAGGTGATGATGAAGCAACAAGAAGTATCTCTCAAGGAAGTTCAAAGGGCGAAGCAGGTTATATGTAACTGTAATTCACATTATCTGTGTGTAACTTGCATCTCCCTCTAGCAAGCAGAACTGATACTGAGGCCCAAGCTTCCACTCTTATGGTTGCCTACTCCATAAGCTTGAGGCATAGGTGCACGTACATTGAAATGCAGCGTACTTGTTCATCACTGTAGATAACCCAGGTGGGTGGTTGTTACCTGCTTGCAGGCAGTTACTCTGTTTTCAGAGCTGTCGTGTTAGTATGCAGCCATGTCAGAATCTCTGCTTTTTGACAAGGTGTAAAGCACAGCTCTTTGTCGTGCATCAAGGCAGGGTCATAGTTAGAGAATAACTTCAAAAGTGAGATCTGTTTGTCCCAAGTCTACTAAAGCAGTGTTTGTCAGGACACTTAGCAGTGCCATGGTGCTAAGAGATGGGAAGATTGGCTTTTCAGCATGCCACATTAACAGAGCAGGTTTCATCAAGCCAGCAATGCAGCTTGTGCTACCCAGTATGTCACAAATCTGCATTTTAAAAATATAGCAAAAATGAATAAATTTTGTTAACTGATAGTTTCACAGTGGTGATTTCAACAACCCAATGCAACAGTATTCTGGGATCATGATCTTAAATGCAGAGGAATTGTTGTAGGCTGATTTTTAAGTGTTAAAATGTTTTTGTTGCAAATTTCCCCTTCTCTGGAGTGATAAAGCTGTATTTGCTGTACTAATAGAACCTGGGGAGTATGAAGTTTTGCTGCACCAGTGTTAGTAAATTCACCTGAAGGTTTATGAGAAACTCTTGTGTGACATTAATGACATGTCTAAAGCAAAGCAGAGGAAGATGGGAGTTAGTGGCCCCTGCTTGAAGTGATGTGCTTGCTTTTTGTGGATTATATCAGCCATTGATCAGAAATGCCAATGCAGCTTTATTTGTGTGGGTGCTGGCTTGATTAGCTTATGGAGGATGGTTTCCTAGCTGTGCAGCCGAAGCATCAGCAAGGGGAGCATGCACACCAAGCCAAACGTGTATCTGCTTGTGTGACTCTGTGTTTTGTTCCCTGGATCAGCCAGCAGCAGTAGTTACCTCTCAGTCAGCATTAAGATGGGAAGAGCTTATTTGCCATCTGCAGGGGAGTTGTGTCAGCAGGGATACTGGGGTCATCGTCTTGAGCATCCCACTGCGTTGATCCCGTGTAATCCCAAGTGTGATAGCGTGCCTGAACTTTCAGCAACAAAGCAGGTCAGAGCTAGTGTTACCTGCCAGTGTGTGCAGTTGAAAAAGACCACGGTGCTCAATAAAACAACATTTAGTACATTCAGAGTATTCCCTTCAAGGGAATTTTGGGAAACTAATTCCCTAACCAGAAAAGGGGCAAGCTCAGGCATCTGCAGGCTCAGCCCAGGGACGAGTCCATGACAGTTGTAGGAGTAAAACTTGCATGTTTCGGGCTTTTATGTTCCAGTTTTGCTCTGGGCCCTGGATTTCTACATCCATATGCAGGCACAATAGGAAAACCAGGCTTTTCCCCTCCTCCTTCTCATCTTCTCAGCTGTCCTGTGAGAACTCCCAGGCTGGTGGAAGCTTTGTTTCTGTATCTTTGTTAGAAGAGCAGCACAGTCCATCAGCATTACAGATCAAACCAGCTAATGCTCTCCTTAGTGCTAATGGGCTTTCTCAGACTGAATTGGCACCTCTGTCTTGCTGAACTGTAGCCCTCTTCTTCCTTTCTGGGAGGTTTCTAAGGAGTAACCCTCCAAGAAAGCCAAGGTGTTCCTCAGAGGGAAAAGCTGAATGGGAGGAGGTGCTCTGCCCTGATGGGAGATACTTTGCCCTCTGTTTGGAAGCACTTTTGGAGGTGGCTGACACTTAAGCCCTAATGTGGTTTCTTTGCCCGCACAGGCAGAGGTGACAGGGCAATGAGGCTGCCCTGACCTCAAGCCACAGTCCTCTGTCCCATACCAGAAACCTCCTAGCTTTGCTCCCCACTGCTTTGCAAAGCAGATGTTCTAGCAGCACTGCTGAAGGCCTAGATTTTCTGCTCTTATGCCCAAATACTGATGCCTCATGGTGAGAAGGAAAGCAGTGTCCAGAGACCCCCATATTTGAATTGTGCTCCTTCCTCTGGCACCTCAGCAAAGAGAGGAAGCCTCTCTTTGTTCCCTAGATGTCTTGTTGAGGCAGAGTCAAAGAACAAGCTGGAATATCAAAATACTGCATTTTCTTGCAGGTTTGGGGCCACTTAAAGCTTTGAGCAGGCTCAGTGCTTTGTCCCAGCCTGGGTGGGCTTCTGTACGTTGTTGTGAAAGGCCCCATGTAAATGGTCCTGGGCTGCCTCACCTGATTTATTTCCTTTTTAACATGTGGCCTATATGTTTCTTAGCAACTCCCCCACTGGTGATGATAGAAAAGGAGCATATGTTACAGACATCACATGAAGTAGCTCCATCCCCTCCTCTTTTTTCTTTATCTCTGCTCAGTAGCAGTGTAATGATAACGATTTCAGACTCTGCTGTCTTCAAGAATAGGAGATCAAAAGGCGCATTTCATTTCAGCAAATGGAATAAAAGCACTTTCCGTGCACACACAGGAATCCTCTGCCAGCAGTACAGACTCCAGCTGGACTGCTCGCATCAGGCATGGCAGATGTTGCATTAACTGGAGCTTATCCATACCTGAAAATTAATCTAGACCAGGCACAGCGAGAGTTTGTAACTGTAAGTGTGGTAAACTGTCAGCTGTCTGGCTGGGTCACTTTAGATTTCCATGGTCATCATTGGTCTGCATGCATGTGGGATTTGGGAACTGCTCCTTCAGGGAAATTCCCCACATAGGAGGGTGTCTCTTGTGTGCAAGGCTAGCTTTCCACATAACACATGGCACTGTCATCATGCTGCCTCGGTGCTTTAACTGCGTGAGCTGGTTTTTATCATGGTGGTCAATCCTTCATGACGGAGGGGTTGCAATAAATTTGGGATGAGAGGAAAGGGAACGGAAAACTCCCAGAGCAGTCATCTGGCATCCTCTGCCCCCAAGAGGATTTCCCTTTCTTCCCACACACTCCTTGCAGCATTTCCTTTTCAAACAGGCATCATCCTCTCTTCCTGCTTACCCCTTGTATTCCTGGGTGCTGCTGTTTGATTTCCTATTTTCATCACCTTTGTCTATGTCTGTTACTTGGTTTGTCATTCAGCAAGTGCTGCCCATCTCTAGACTCTCATTCATTCCATTGCCTTTGCTCACGGCTGCACTTCCAACTATGGTGAGGTCAGTGTGGCAAGAGAGGAGAGGGGTTTTGTTAGCAGGTGATGGTAGAGCATTGCCTGGCTGCATTGCCTCATGAGCTCTGCTGTGCTGGGGAAGTATCACTGCACCCCCATTGCCAGCCAGCTGTATTTTGTCATGTCTGTCATTGATGCTAGTCAGACTGTCCTTTGGTCTGAGATCAGTAAATCCATCCTTCCTTTTTATGAGCCTTTTCCCCCTGTGTGTTCATATACGCTGTTTGCCCAGTCTGCCCTCTTCTGTACTGAGACAATAAGTCTTGGCCCTTGTTTTCCCCTGTTGCAGTGTGGATGGCTTACCTTAAGTTAACCTTACTTAAAATAAGTGGGAAAAATGCCTGATGGTCTCTCATAGAAAGCCTCTCTTAATATCTTTTTCACATCTCCTATTTATTGTATTGAGAATTTTGTGTGTTTAACCTTTCATCCACTTACATTTTTGTGACCGCACTAGGTAGATCCTATGTGGAGTGGTCTGAGATGAAGTTGGTGCATTTTTTTTTCCCTACCACCTCTTCTCATACCAAGAACAATTAGAATACCTGATGCATGTGGCCTGTGAGAACACAGTTACAGTGCGTTGCCCTTCGGGATCTCGTGGCAAAACCTGTCTTTCCTTGAGATGCACTTTGACATATGCCCCTGTGGCTGGCTTCCCTGTGGAGCATTGTCATTCCCAGAGAAGAGAAGGTGTTAGAGACCATTTATTGCAGAGAGCTGATCCTCTGACAGTGTCATTGGCTTGTGTAAACCTCGTCACTGGCTTCAGGCCTTGATGTTAATCTGCTTCAGCAGTTCAGGGGGTGGCAGATCCAACTTTGGTTGAGCACCATGGAATAAAGCAGTAGGCTTGAAGGATGTTTTCTGAGGCAACAAGTGCGTGAGTTGCACATGAACACACAAGCTGTTTCTGCCAGGGGAGCAGGCTTGTTGCTTGTGTTGTCTGCACTCATTCACACCCTTTCCAGGCAGCTTTATCACAAGAAGGCCCAACAGTGAAACTTCAGCATCAGTGTGGTGGCCACAGGTACTTGACGTTAGCTTTGGTGATGCAAGCGTGCCTTGTCTTACACTTATGTAGCATGGGCAGTGTTACCTCCTGCAGTATCTGCCAGAGCCTGGCTGGGTGTTTACCTGCTGCCCTGCAACCCTCAGCCCTTGAGCTCGCTTGAAGACCGCCTTTCCCAGCCTCTCCCCAGCCCAAACTGTGCCATCCGCAGCCCCTGAAGCCAAGAGAGCATCCTAACCAAGCAGCGGGAGTTGCGGGTTTCCCGGCGTGGGGAATGTCGCGGCTGTTGTTTCCAGATGTGTGTGTATTTTGGAGGTAATGCTGGTTGTTTTTTTTTCTCTCTTCCCTTCCTCTCTTGCCTGTCGTTTGCAGATGTTAACGCAGGAGAACGAGTTCAGACCAATAGCGTAGCTACAGCATCAGCCTCCAACTCCACCTGAACCAGTACCAAGCAGCCAGCTGCACAGGAAAGATCACCAGTAATTTTGAGTCTTGCTCAGCAGCACTGGTCTCATTTGGAAAGAAAATTAAAAAAGAGGAGAGAAAAAAAAAACCCAAAAAAAAAAAAAAAAGGAAAGAAAACAAAAAAAAAAAAGGAAAAAACCAACCAACCAAGCAACCTGTTCATTTTAGTGTTCAATTTTTTATTATTATTATTGTTGTTCTTATTTAACCTTGTAAAATATCTATAAATACAAACCAGTTTCATTGTATTCTCACTCTGCAGGGTGTCCGGGGCAGGGGACTTAGGTGGGGGGGGAGGAGGGAAAGCGGAGCAATACAACACACCAATGTCTCTCCCCTCGACAATCTCTTCATGTTGGAAGTTTGCTGTTGTGTACTTCAGAACCAGGACTCTTGCCTCATGCCCTCTCCCACAACAGAAAGAAGGAAAACAAAAAAAAAAACAAAAAAGGAAAAAAAAAAACACCAAAACAAAAAAAAAACCCAAACCTCATTCTCTGCTGAAATTTTCTTTTTTTTTTTTCTTTTTTTTTCTTTTTTTTTTTTTAACCTCTTTTTTTTTTTTCTTTTTAAGTGAAGTTTTGGACTTCGATGTAGTTACACAGCTTGAATTTGGTCGGGAGCTTAGCAGGGGTCATTCGGCAGAGCTCAGCCTTTCTTGTCAGCCAATCCATTCTCCCAGGTTGTCTGAAGAACTGCCCCGGCTCGGGATGGGGAGCGGGCAACGTGGTAGGGAAATAGGTTGCCATAGGGTGGGGGGGGTGGGAGGGTTTGCTGTGTATCGAAGGCTTGACCCGCTAGTGGAAGCCTTTCATTGTAAAAACCAGTGCTAGCAGTGAGGAAACCTGCAGCTTCAGTAAGGGAAAAGTCTACCCCCGTGGGTATGTATAATATAATACACACACATGCACGACCGCAGGCCGTTAGCGTTTGGAAGCAGCTCCTTTGCCCCGCTGGAGCTCCTGCCCCGTGTCGTGAGCCGGTGCCGGCACCCAGTCAGCTCCCATCTTCAGCAGAGAAGAGCGGACGAACAAATCCCTCGGCCTGACTGGGGGTGTTTAAGGGACTCTTTGGGAAGTGGCCGCTGCGAAAGTGGGTTTGGTTTCGGGGTTTATTTCAGTTCCTCTTCTCTTCTCCCCCGCTTTCCCCGGCTCTCGGTTTGAACAGGCTGCCCTTTCCCGAGGTGCGCCCAGGAGGAGGACACCAGGGTTTATAATGTGAACTGTTAACAGTCTACTGGTTTCTTTTGTAATACCTTCCTTTTTTAACGGCAGTTTTAACTCGCAGGATGCCACGTTCTCTGATAGCTCTGATTTTAAATCCACAGCTAGAACCTGTATTTAATTTCACCTTTTTTAACCTCTCGCTTCTTCTTCTTTTTTGATCTCTATTTATTGATGCGTGTTGCCACGTTGCCATTATGGTTTTACATTTGGTAGAATATTAAAATACACATCCAAGTGCTCTCGACAGTAATATGTACCTGCTGACTTGTAGGAAAGCTGGCTATATATGAGTGTGTGTGTATATATATTATATAAATATATACATGTATACATAGATACAACACTGCTTTTTCTATTTTGTCTACGATCTCGAAACAGTCTGCCCGGAGCGCGAGGTGAATGCTTGTTCTAGTCCATCTGGTCAGGGCCCGGGTTTCCTCCCTGCAGCGGCGCGTGGCGCGAGCATCCACATCTCTCTTCCTGAAGTCAAAGCAATATTCCTCGGGAAAGGGTCAGGTGAGCGGCGGGACGCAGCCGCGGTGTGGAAACGGGACGTGCGGAGACCTAGGCTTGCGGTGGGTGTCCGCTCCCCCCCTTACCCCTTCCGGAGGAGCTGTAGTCCATCAGCTCTGGTGCTTAGCAAGCTGTTCCATCCGACCCGGGCATCTCTTAGGCAAGCGGTTGCTTTTCGGGAGCATGGGGGCTGTTGTGTGGCCCAGGGGCAGGCAGCAATAGCAGCTTCGGCGTGCTCGGCTGTGACAGCAGAGCTTTTGCTCACGAGCTCAGTGCGTTTCTTCTTGTACCTTTTGATGCTGTTGATGTGGGATTTGTTTTGTGGCCACTCTTAGCAGCCCTGGAGCTGGGAACAGGCCTGCCCTCTCCCTCCCGCCTGGCACCCAGCACGAGTCTGGGGAGGCAGGAGCTGCTTCAAGAGGTGAGTGACCACCTTCGTGTTGTGTTTGCTGTCGGGCACACACAGGCGCGCACACACAGAGAAAAGGGGGTTTTAAAGCTTTTTAGCTGTTGTTAAATCCCGGTTGGCTGCATCGGAAAGCACACCCGCATTTAGAAACAGGCAGCTTTCCAAATCCTTCCCTGCAGCTGAAGAGGAAGGGCTGAAGAGCATCTGAACGCGAGAGCTCAGCTAGTCAGTGTCCCAAAAGGTAAGTGGAAGGGTTTGGCTGACCCAGTGATCCAGATAGATGCGGGAGGCTCCAAAAGCAGGGCAGCAGCAGGGGACGGATCCATTCTGTGGGCTGACACTGCTGAGGCATTGGCCACAGGCATTGTCATGTTAAGGTAGTGAATTACACAGTGCTTAAAAGCAGGAATACAGAGAATGAAGAGAAGGTGCTGCTTGTGCCAGGAATTGTGGCTGCTCTTCCCTTTCCTACCCTTCCGCCTTCCAGTTGAAGGCTGGTGAAGGGGAGCGCAGAGCTTTCCTCTCTGGCTTTGTGACCGTGTTGGCGTCTGTGTGTGTCATGTATGTGTGTGTGTGCGTGTGTGTGTGTTAGGCTGGGGAGGGTCGGGGTGCCCCTCTGGTTTTAGTTCTTGTTTTCAAGGATCATGGCAGGATCTCACACTCTTTTATACATCAGATCCAGGTCTTTGAACAACCGTTTTTGTAAATAATGAGACAGAAAAAAAAGAAAAAAAAAGGAAAAAAACCCCAACAAAAAACCTCCCCCAAAAGCTCCTCACCAAATTCAAGCGTGTACATCCGTGCTATTGGTTGTTGTTTGAGTTTTATTGTTTTGTATGTAAATATGTGGACCCAGGAACTGTTATTAATGAGCAAAAAGTTACCGTTCAGGGCAGTGATTCTGTTTAATAATCAGACAAAATGTAGACGAGCTTTTTAAAGCCATATAGTTTTAACTCTGTACAGTAGGTACCGGCCTGTATTATTGTAACAATAACTCTAGCGATGTATAGTGTATCTATATAGTTTGGAGTGCCTTCGCTTCCATGATTTTTTGAATTTTATTTCCCTTTTTTTTCCCCCCCTCCCCTCCTTTATCAATGATGTCTCTCCCCTTCCTCCCTCCCCAAACCCGCATCTTTGCTCCCCCCCTCTGCTTTCTAACTCTTTGAGTGCTGTAAGGTTTCGGTGATACCCTGATCAGTAGCAGAATGAGAGGAAACCGTCTCCACCATCATCCATTTCATGGGAGCTGTGGCTTTGGGGATGTCTCCAAGTTGCCCACCCTGCCCTCTCCTCCTCCCGCTGGCAGCCACCTGTTCCCTTCGGACACTTGCCCCAGAGCTCATTTAGACTTTGCTCATCAATCCCCCCCAGTCCTGCAGCTTCCAGGAGGCCCGGCCTTCCCACCCTCCCTGCGGCTGTGCCGGGGGCAGTGGCCGGGCCCCCAGGGAGGGAACCCCTTGCATCCCGCAGGGATGCTCTGCTCGGAGCCCCTCGGCCGCTGAGGAGCAGGGGCATCGCTGTAGGAGACCGTGGTGGTTTCTTCTGCCCGGGGCACTTTCCGTTCCCTTCCTTCTCCTTGTTTTCCCTGCCGCCCCTCCCCAAAGTCACTTTTTGTTTTCTTGAGATAAGTTGAACATGACTCTTGATTTCTTGTGCCCAGCACGAAGGCCTTGTTTCTAAAACTAGTTTGCTTGTGTTCTACTACCTTGTTAGTATTCCACATAAGATTGTCTTGAATGGGAAAACACTTAACTCTTTACCAAACCAAAGGTTGCTGTTTTATTTCGAAGCATCTCGTGTTCATTCCAGTGAAGCAGAGGCTGCACTTTCTTTCTGGTGACACGAAGGTCAGTGATGCCAAGCTGTTGATGACAGTCTGCTCAGAGCTGTCCCTCTCTTCTGTTATTCTCTTTCGGGCTTGTTTTTTAACCCAGTCTGGTCTTGATCTGCCCTTTACATCAGCCTTGCTGTGGTGTGGGTCTCTGAGCCGGACTCGATCGCAGTCTGTCCGCCCCAATGGCTGCCTGATCGAGACGCTGGTGTTCTTTCACCTTACATTTACCTACCTTGCTAGGGAAAGGCAACAACAAAAAGACCTTCAAAAGAAAATTGGCTGGTAGAAGATCCCCAACACTTTGTCCTCTGATTTCGAAGCCAAGCTTTACCTAAAATAACGGCAGGCGCCTGTAACTTGCAACTTAAAATCCCCCCCACACACCCCCGGTTTTCAGTACTTGGAACAGTAGAATCCAAGCAGCCTGTCAGACACGTGCTCCTGTACTGGGAACCTCAGCCACCGCAGAGGAAAAGGAAAAGCACAGTGAGGGTGTTCGGTCCGGGCTCTGCCTGTGGGGCACAGCCAGCGAGTACCCCGGGGTGGCAGCTCACTTCCACGGGGCTCTCGGCCGCTTCTGGTCGTAGTTGGCTTCGTTTTGCAACACTGCAATAACAGCAAAACGGACAGGAAAGGAAAACAGTACCTAAGGGGTTAGCTCGAGAAAAGTAGCTTCCTTGTGTTGGTCTTTCTCCATTTATTTTTAATATATATATATAAAATATATTTATATATATATAATTTGCTTGCCTGTAAAATTTGCGTTCATTAACGTGTTGCTGATGGATCACTTGGGCCTGTACACACCAATTAGCGTGACCACTTCCATCTTCAAAAACGGAAATCTAAACAAATATATATATATATTAAGGACTGTGGGTTGTATACAAACTATTGCATACACTTGTGCAAATCTGTCTTGATTTAAAGGAGAAGCAAAACCTGTATAACATTATTACTACTTGAATGCCTCTGTGACTGATTTTATTTTATTTTTTTTCTTTTTTTTTATTTTTTTTTCAGTTGAAATATAAACTTTTTTTTTTTTTTTTCTTTGTGGAAACTATGCTCAATGTTTTATTATTTCCCCTGCCCCTTACTCCCCCTTGTAAATACGTTTTGTTCTGTGTGACTCGGTTCGGAACTAGTTACCTGGTACTGTAATTTGCATTAAATAAAACGTAGGTTAGCCTGGAAATGAAATTTAAACAATACCAAGTGTGTGGTCTTTATTTCAAACAATTGCCCCTTTCTTTCCTCCTCTTCCTCCCTCGTCCTTCTCTCCCTTCTCCTCACCTCACGCCTCTTTCCACTCCGCAAGAATGAGGTGGACGTGGATCTGTGTAATGATAACGGAAAGGAAAAGCCACGAGAAACGAGCGTGTTGTGTTAACTGAGCTGTGTTATTCCATGCTGGTTTCCAAGAGGTGCCAGCTTGTCTCCGATACCGTTTGATTTGATGGAGAGAGGAACCCTGGGACACAAATAACTTCAAATTAAACCCAAACAATCTTCCTTCGCCGTCCACCTATAGATACGAACTGAAGCACCTGTGTAAACGGCTGGCTTTGAACCCTGCGCTCATGGTTGGTTGGGGTTTGGTTTTCTTTTTATCATTGGATCCCATTAGTAATGTTCTTTGGTGGTGATCTGTAAAGTTTGTCGAGACCACGTCCAGTGGACCGTTCCTCCAGCAAATCAGCAGTAGCTCTCTCTGGGTTGGGTTGCCGGTACTGGATGATGTGTGTGTTCACCATGACGTGTCTATTAGCGCAAAAGATGAAACAAACCTCCTTGTTCTGGGCTCTGTGACCCGGCCGGGGCCGCTCTGTCGCTATCCTAAAGGCTAGATGCGAGGTCGTGTGACTGCTGCTTCAATAAAAAACAGATTTCTATTGCAGAGAGCCTCCTCCTGGTTTGTTCCCGGGCCCGGCACGCGGTTCCGCTGCAGAGGTGGGAGCGGGGCGGGAAGGGAGGGCCCGGCCATGCCCAGGGCTGGGGCCATGGGGAGAGCCGCCTCCGAACAGCACCTTGGTGTGGTGGTCGTGCTGCCTGCACCCAGGCAAAGCTGTGCCCCCCAGAGCAGCGCCAGCCCCGGCTCAGCCATGGGGCCATGGGTCTGCTTTTGTTCAGCCCCCACCACTCAGCCCTGCACTGGATTACCTGGGCAAGGGGACCACGGAGCTGACCACAGCCTGGCAGCACCAGAAGCAGTGATGCCATCACTTCACTTACATCAGTCCCGGGACCTCGTGCTGAGACCAGAGCTGCTCTGCTCGACAAGTCTGGCCCCTGAGATTGAGGGTGGCCGCTTACGTCGGCAAAGGCATCGCTGCCTGAACTGCAGCACCTCGCTGGGTGAGTTCATTGATTTGAAGGTTGCCACTGCTCATCACAATCCGCAGGAACTCGGCGTGGTGGTGAGTTATCCTTGGGCACTTCTCCTCCAGACATGGGCGCTGAGGTCTTCTGTCTCTCCTGGCCTTCTCCCAGGGTGAATGCAAGCTGTGGGCTCCCATCCTTCACTGTGTTTGCACAGGAACCCTCTGCTCCAGTCTCTGGTCTCTCTTCTGAAGGTCAGGGCCCCTTGAGCAGGACCCAGTCACCACGTAACTTCTTGTTAAGCTGACTGGAAGGGGAACTTTGCCTCCTTTACATCTTTCTAATTGTATCTCCTCTACAACAGCTTTTAATACCCTCCTTAAACAGCAGGTACCAAAACCAGGCAGAGGATTCCTACAACAGTCTCCCTACTGTCAAAGATGTACTAGAGAGCACCTTGCAGCTGGTGCTGTTGTTTCCTTGCCTGAGGACTACATTTTACCCCTCTGTGTGGAGGCTGCAGTTGTCCACTTTATCCATTGCTCCCTCCAGTTGTAATTCTTGTGAACATTAGCAATGAGACTTCTGTATTTTCATTCCAATCGTCCTTTTAAAACATAACATGAAACACATTAGCATCAAGAGCCTGTTCCCACACAACCTTCCAGGCAGCAGTTACCTTGTCACTGTTCCCTATGTGAGAATACCTCCCAAGATCTACTTGTAAACCAGGTTCAAATGCACTGAGCTGTCAGTCACCGACACCTTTGAATGACTTTAGATGCTAATCCAAACACACAGCAGCACCACGCTGAATGTGGTACAAAAGTCTGCTCCACTGACATGCTTTGCCTTTATCAACCAACCTTGCAGCCATCTGGGCTGGAATTAAAAGTCAATGTCAGGGCTACTGGTGTTTGTTATCTGGAAGGTGGCAGCTTACAGGCTGCTGGTAGAAAGGTCCGGGTCGCTTTCTGTGGGAGAACAAGAGCCACAAAGCAGGAGGGAAGCAAGCATCAGAATGTGGAGGGGAGAGTGGGAGCACGGTGTTTGTGCCTGAAGCAGCAAGCCCTGGAGGCAGCGAGCTCAGCACGTTGCACACAACCTCACCAGCCGGTCTTGAATCTCGCTTCCCTCCCTTGGTCCTAGGAAGGGCTTGGCTGGGTTATCCAGTGTTCCCTTGCTGGCCTTGGGGCCTTCCTGGGGAGGGTAGGGCTGCTCTGCTCAGCCAGCCATGCCCAAGGGCTGCAGGGTCAGACCCAAGCTGCTGCCAGCCCCAGGCTCTGGTGAGGAAGTAAAGGGTGTGGGGAGCAGCACCGCGTGGGGCATGGCAGGGACCCTGGGCTCCGGTCCTGGTGTGAGCATCACAGAGCGCTGAGGCTTTCGTCGATGCAGGTGCGGTCCTGACCTTGTTGCACACCCAGCGCACCCCTGGTGTCCTGGCACGGATGTTTTCTGCTTGGTACATCCTACTGCCCCCTTAGAGTCTGCACGCAGCCAGGTAGCTCTCCCATGCAGTCAATGGAGTTCAAGTTCTCTCTTTCAGGGATTCCCTGCTCTCTGCATCACTGATCTCTCTCTGTGCTCTCCAGAGACAAGGCTGGCTCCTCCAGGACAAGGTAAGCGGGGAATGAGCAACTTCTTCCCTTGTGGAAGCTTGTGAGGGGCTGCAGCAGGCTGTGTGCGGCCGGGGTGATCTGTCAGGAGAGCCCAAGCCCTGGGCAGGCTGCAGAGCCCCCTCACTCTCTGCACAGTGAGGAAATGTAGCCGGAGGCAAAGAAAGCCTTAGCCCTGGGCAGAGGTGCCTGGCAGAGCCGGGAGCCATGGGCCCTGCAGGTGGTGAGTGTTTGTGGTGTCCAGAAGCCAGCCACTGACACAGACACATGGCAGGTCTTGTTAGAGGGAGGCCATGGCTGCAGGGAGCGAGCTGGGCTCAGATACGGAGTGGGAAGGCCATGTGGGCTTGAGAGGAAGCAAAATGTGTTCGTCCTTCTCTCACCAGCGCATAGGCAACCCCATTATCATTCCTCAAAGCATTCTTCAAAGCTGGGAGGAGGTGGGGTCGAGCTCTTCTCCCAAGTAACAAGCGACAGGACAAGAGGAAACGGCCTCAAGCTGTGCCAGGGGAGGGATAGATTGGAGATGAGGAACAATTCCTTCCCGAAGAGGTCTGTCAGGCATTGGAACAGGCTGCTCTGGGCAGTGCTGGAGTCACCATCCCTGGCGGTAAAGCGATGGAGATGAAGCCCTCAGTGCCATGGGTTAGTGGTGGATTCAGCAGTGCTGGGGGAATGGTTGGACATGATGATCTTAAAGGTCTTTCCCAACCTAAATGTTTCTGGGATTCTATGCTTGATTCTACGTTTCCTACAGCACAAGAGCAAGCAGCTCCTCCTCTTCCCTTCTGCAGCGCTTTCCTGTAACCAAAACCTTTACCAGGCAAGGCTGCTCAGGAGGCAGACAGTGAAACCAGGTTCTGTGAGGCCATTTCTGCTCATTGCTTTTGATCATTGATGTTGTCTGGGATGCTGTCATCTGTTACCAGCCTAGGGAAATGAAGGGACTCCCAGCTGGGGGAGTCTTTGGACCATCTCAGTGACACCTCATTCCCCCCAGCACTTTTGTTTCATGGCACCAGGGCAAGGAACAGGTTGGTCCGTGTCAGCTGTTGGTGCTGGAGACAACAGATCTGGGGCCTGCACAGCAATGAAAAATGGTCTGCATTTGGCTGGAGGCAGAAAAATGACATGGCAGGTGGAGAAAGGCTTCAGTAGGTAAGGAACCAGCATGGGGATTGCAAGAGGCTTTCAAGGGAAGGGCTTTTTCTGGCTCAGTAATTAAGGGAGATTTGTTCTTGGGACTGATCCTGCTGCAATTTAAGGAGAAAGGAGGGAATGCAGCTTTCCAGTCTCCGTAACACTGGTGGGAGCAGCTGCTTTAGTGATGTAAAATGGTGTATGAGAAGATGCTGCCCAAAAAGGGTATTTAGGAGGTGGTTTAGTGTGCTTTCAGTATAGGGGCTGCATAAGAGCACCGGTGACACCCTTCAGGCTGATTGCTGCATCTGCATTGAGAGCACTGGTGGTGTTCACACTCCAAGCATGTGTCCCTGCCCGTGGCAGGGGGTTGGAACCAGATGAGCTTTTAGGGTCCCTTCCAACCCAAACCATTCTAGGTTTCCATGAAAAAGGTGTGTTGGCTTCCAGTTGTCCTACTGAAAGTCATTTTTGTTGGTCTGAACTGCAATGATTGCTACAGGATTTCCTCCTTCCACACTGCAAGAGCAGGGATCAGGGGGATATCAGCAGGGAAGACCTGGGACACTCTGCATTCATTCATTCATTCATTACCTCATTTGTTCGCTTGTCGGCCAAGAAGCCGATTCTGCAGCATTCCCGCAGTGCAGTGACCCCCCAGGCTTTGGTCTCCCACCCCTGTTGGGATGCAGGAGCTGCAGGGCAGCACAACCAGGCTCCCTCTGCCCGGCAGCTGGGGAAGGAAAAGCGGTATGAGCAGAATTCCCTGTTTCCACTGTACTGGTGCAGCCCTGGAGGCATGTGCTGTGCCTGTTTCAGGTACAGGCTCCTCCCCAGGGTTGTTCTGGCTCCTGCTGTGAGAAGGAACGGTGCATTCTTGTGCTGTTGATTTATGATCCCAATTCCCTCTCACCATGCTCGTTTTCCTTCTCAAAGCACATTCTGTAAAGCCTGAAAAAAACACCTGCACATGCTGATTGGAAGCAGTTTCTAGAGCAGAGCTTCCTGCAGGAATCCTGCCATGGCCTTCAGTTTACACGCGAGGCAATGTCATGTGGAAAAGATGGCTTTAGCCTGACGATGTCCCTTAAGTCATAACAGGAGCCAAGACATTTATAGCTCAGCCTGTGCATAGCATCTGGAGTCCCCTGACCTCTCGCTGTGGTGCAGAGGGCTGTGTCTCCCAGGGGACCAGAACACTTCAACCCGCATCCCAGACCTGCTGGAATGCTTCTTGTCTTTCTAGAACCACATCCAACTGCACCCATGGAGAATGCCTAATTTCAACATGCCATCCCAGACATACAGTAAATGCCTTGATGGCTCGGTCTTCCAGTTCTACTCTTCTGCTGCATCAAGTTTTCCATGTCTCTCCTATTACACCGGACCTTGTGATTCATGTTATCCCCCCTCTCTCAATCAGGCTAAATTTGTCCAGGGTGGCCCGAGGCAAAAGAGCCGATCCCTGAACAGCTGCTCCTCCCACACTGTGCAGTGTTTCTCTCTGTGTTTTGCATTTGCTACCTTCCCTTTTTAACGACGAGCTATGTGGATTTTCCCAAATCCCCAAACCCTCAGGGGATGGGATCATCCTCACAGAGTCCTAACCAGAGCTCATCACCCATCTCTGACTCCTGCTAGATCCTGCAGTGCTTGCAGAGGCTGCCTGACCCCACCTGCTGCCTCTGGTTAGTGACCTGGAGACCAGCAGTGGTTTCCTGATGCAGCTCTGTTTCCCCTCTCCCATTCTTATTCAGAGCTCACTGGAATACAGGGGTACTCGGATTCCTTTTCTCCTCTCTTCTCCTCCCTCCCCAGCCTGATCCAGAAAACAAAAGCTGACACATTTTTTTCCCCAGGATTGCACTCATAAGCCTGATTTTTTGACCAGCTGCTGGTTTTGTTCTGAAGGAGCAGTGCTGTATGTTCAGGATGAGTGAGCTGGACCACCATACCTGAGGCCTCACAGACCCAGCACAAAGCGGGAAGTCTCTTCCAGAGAAATGATGGAAGTACACAGAGATCAGCCCGTTACCACGTTAGCACTAAGAGCTAATACTGCTATCTGCTGCAGAAGTTGTAGCCATCAGTGAGTAAGCATTTTGGGAGTGGTGGTGTGGCTGTGCTTGCTCCTGCCTTTGATGCTGGTATCAGTGTAACTGTACCTTTCAGATGCTAAACCCACAGAGCTCAGGAATTTTGACAGGTGAGTGCTGGAGAGCTGAGCTAGTCCCTGACAGCTCTGTGATCAGATGCTCTGCACCCGTCTGACATCCTGATGCTTGCAAACAGGGCAAAATCAGCACCCTTTCTGCCTAGCCCCTGGAGCTGGAAAACCAGGGTGACTGACACTGTGTTAGGAAAAAGAGGATTCTGTCTAGAATTGGCCTCATTTGGAATGTTAAAAAGCAAGAAGTCAGCCCAAAGGTTAAAATTTCAGGAAAAAACATAAGCACTGGTTAAAGGGTTCTTTGCCCAAGAACCATTCTGCTATCACCTGGCCTTAGTTACTAGTGCTAGACACTGCCTGGTTGGCAGGAACCACTCTGATGAGGTCAGGGCACCTCTTCTTTATGAAGGAATAATTATGTGAAAAGATGATGTGGTATCTGACCATTTTAATTCATTCAACACTTCCTTAACAGCAGTGCTAATGCAGGAAGCCATTCTTTTTTACTCCGCTTAGGGAATCAGTGGGACATGCTTGAGTAAAGATTGTGTATGGTCTTAACTCAAAATTCCCCATTTCTGGTATACTGTTTCATTTAATATTACTGATTCAAGGATATACCATGAAAAGCCCAGGTGCAGGTCTTTATTGGTCTGTGCCAGGAAAACAAACGCCAACAGTGCTTTCTCACTTAAGCTTCTCTTAAAAACTAGAAGAGGAAAAATAGCTAAAAATAGCTAATGAGGTCCAAACCTGGTTGGGGAGGGGGTTGGACTGGGACTGTCACACCAGAAAGTATACAGAGTGGTTCCAGGACAGCATTGCCAGCAGGCAGCAGGAGGGACAGCCCAAGGGGGAGAGAGGATTCCATTCCAATTGCCCTGTAGAAAGTAAATACAGTGTGCTCCCTCTCCTTCAGCATGCTCCAAGTTCCAGTCACGGGGGGAAGGAAAACTCACCTTGCACATCTTCTGTCTTTAGGAGGCTGTGGGATCCTTGCCTGGTCCATCAGGAGGGTCATCTGCTGTCTGCCCTGCGCTTTCTTCACACGGTTTAGCTAGTTCCTCTGCAACTGTGGCAGAGCAAGTGCTGTCAGCTGCACTTGGGCCAGCAGCTGTCTCACTCACGGCAGTGCTGGCTGTCCCAGCAGGAAGGTCTCCCTTTATCTTGCTGGCAGATGTCTCCTGATGCCGTGCCAGATCAGCCACTACCCTCTCTGTGTCCCTGTGGATGATCTGATGAGCAGCATAGATGTGTTTTCTTTGACACTGCCTCACTGCATAAAAAGAGGTAAGGTTTTTTACTTGGAAATGTGCAGAGAAGTGTTCTCCGTGGGGGAGAAGGGAAGGACAGCTTTTAGCCTTCCTGCAGCTGTGGAGAAGCCTATCTCAGGAGAAAGAAATCACGCCCTTCTAACTTTGGCTGAAAGTGTTCTACTGCCACCTAATAGCAGCAACCAACTTTGCATTTCACTTTGAAGACTAACCCCCCCAGTGGGAAACAGGGTTCTCCTTTCCAGCTTAGGGCATAACTGCCCAGGATGTGTTATCAGGCTTTAAAATAAGTGCTCCTTCAGTGTCTGTTAGCTGCAGCAGACCTTTACAAATCTGGAGCTGACATCGGCCCTCTCCTGTGTTATGATTTTGCCTGCAATGAGAAACCCTTACTGAGTTCAGAGTAAGACTTGGAGACACTAGAGATACATTAAGTTACCTACCTTAACATCTCCCTTTTTCTACTGCAGGGTTGTTCTTTATTGTGTTTTACAGTTTTCATCCAATCTCATTTGTATATATTTCCAGCCCACCTCTTAGGAAATAATTACCCATGCTAAAACATTCATCCTACAATTCTCTTCATTCCTCTTCTTTCTTCTTTGTTCCCTCTTTCTCACTCTAGACTTGATGCTGGTAAAAAATCATGCAGCTTGAAATACTGCATGCTTCCAAGTAGGGTGTGGGGAATGTTGCAGGAAAGAGCTATGGCTGTCTTTAGGTCACTTCCCAGCAAAAGTCTAAGACTTCCTTGGTGCTTTGGTCTGTTTGTTTCATAAGGCTGAGCTGTACCTTAACTGTGAATGTGAACCACTGGTGCCTTGCATGCTGTCATACAGCTCTGAATACTGTCATTGAATCAGTTGCTCAACCTTCCTAATCCATCCTGTTTATGTTTATCAATCTCCCAGGTCCATTTTGTCAACAATGAATGCAACCGGATCTTGCCTGTATTTGAAAAGCTGACCTTCACCAGCCAGCTCTCAGTTCCCAGGAGAGCTTTCTCTACCCAAAGCATTTTGGCTTCAATCATGCATCAGCTATACTGGGAATACTCTCCTGCTATTGCTGTAGTCCCTTCCTCCATCCACAGGGAATGCCATCTAAAAGAAAGCAGGCTCAAATTGGTGAGTGATTGTCCTTTTAAATGCTATTTTTTTCACATCAGCATGTTGACTTGTACTTCCACTGAGGGAGGTTTCAGAAGTGAGGTGCAGAGGGGTTTGAAGGTGAGCCAGTATTGGATAATCCCTGGGTTTATGCATAGGAATATGGCAAAAAGAGGATAAAAAAATAAGAAAAGACTAGGTAATGGCAAAATAGAGATGTTTAAAGGGAAGCTAAAATGTAGGCAAAGACTGGACGTGCAAGCCTGCAAAGTTTTGTTCAACAAATGGATTTGCTCCTCTGGCCGGGCAGACAACTGTGCTCTCAGATCACCTCCTGCTAGTTTCAAGGAAGGTGTATGCTCAAGTGTGGCCCAGGTTGCTAAAACATGGTTTTGTATTTAATAATCTGGCTCGCTATGGGGAAACCTTTAAAAGCTGCCACAGAAATGCAATACACTGATATGCTCACATCTAATGCCATTCTTTGATACTATTATTTCCTTTGGATTTACGTGGAATAGTTACCAATTCTTCTCTGAAGGTATCAGGGAAGGTGTGCAGCAGGTTTATGGCAGGGTGTGTTCATCACAGCGTGCATTTGGTAGACCAGCTATTTTTTAAGTGTATGGAGTACCCTCCACCCATGCAACAATAGCAGAAGAGAGTATGAGCCAGGTCTCTTCCTGACGTTCGGTGTCTTCTGTCACAAGAATACTGTGGCGAATTTCGCTTTACCACGTTTGAAGGAGCTCTTGTACTTTGTCACCTATTGCTCTGGCTCTTCAACCAGCATCCACTTTAATTTTGTATGGGGTCTAGCTCTGCTTTCCAGGCAAATCCATTGTAATTAGCACAGATTTTGAATTTTCTTTCCCCTCTGTTGCTTGGGAGTGCTTCTGAGGTGCTTTGTTCGCTAGCTTCTGTTGCATTTAAACCCAGTACGTATCGTCTTCCTTTGTGGTACCTCTGTATGTCCAGAATCCCAGGCCATCTCCAGATCTTCTCTTCCTGTTTTTCTTTCTGAGGCAAGCCAACCTGTGTGTGTTAGTGCCCTGGCTGCAGGCTTCATTGACTAAAATTACATCACCTGCTTTGGTAGGCTTGCAGAAGGAGGGCTAAGGAGGAGGGAGCTGATTTAAGCTTATGCAGAATTGCCATCTGCTGAATAGACACTGTTGTTGTGACAAATACACAAACTAGGAAGTAAAAAAAAGAGTTTTCACAACTCAGATACTGCAAAATGTGTTTGCAGGGTTTGTGTTTTCATTCACAAAGCAATAAAAAGCAATGAAGTGCCTTTGTTCTCAAGTCAGAGAAATACAGTGCAGCAAGGACCACTTCAGACCCTATTGTTTCACAGCTGCTTTACTTATACCCACTTTCTGTGGGTGACTTTTTGGCCACGGTCTTCTGAGCATGCTGGTCAGTGGAAACATCCCAGTTAAGAACAGCCATTTATTCATTATACTTAATGTAATACAGGTTTCCAGGGCCTTCCTCTCTGTATTTTGACAGATAATATTCCATTTTGGCTAAATGAAGCATCCTTTATAACTGCAAGATTATCTACTTAAAACATGATGCCAGTACAGCCAATCCTAAACCCTTAACTTTGCTTCTAGCTCTCAACCAGTGTGGGGAGGGGACAGACCACAGAAAAGCATATAATATTCCTTCCACGTATGGCATATATTTAAGTAATCTGCCTGTTAAAGTTTTACACAGCTTTTAGAAATTGCCATATAATAGACAATTCACAGCCATGCTACTTGAAGGCACTTCCCAGTTTGTTTTTGAAGGTGCAAGGGGCTGCTGCTTTTCATGTAGTTTATTACTGAAGATAAACCAAACTTACCACAGATTATTACCAATTCGTAAGGGACCTCAAGAATCATCTGGTCTAACCTTTCTTGGCAAAAGCACAGCCTAGACCTTACATCAAGTCTGAAGTCAGGCCACTCTTTTAAAAAGACTACAGCTCATGAGAAATTGGTGATAAAGGGTCAAAGGGCTTAACTTTCTACCTGCAGAGTGCAAAAGAGCAATCTCAGAGAAATGGGACAACTCTTGGCACTGCACCTTTCCTTTCAGTGCGCTAGAGTGAGGAGGGTGAACCAGCTCACAAAGAGAACAAAGTTACTGGACTCCTTACCTTTTTCTCTGATAGACATTTTTTCAGCTTCTGGGATGAGGAAATCATAAACCATCTCTGCTACAATCTCTTCTGATTGTAGGTGAGTTCGACTACAGAACAGACGCAGAGTGGTGTTAGTACTTTGATTTTCTTTACAGATCACCTCTGCAAACATGAGACTCCCTTGCAAATATTCCCACTCTTTCCAAGGGAGTGTATTGTCATGGCAGCAATTGTAAGCTGGGTCTCTCTTTATCCTACAAATAGGTGACAGTGACAATTCCCCTTTGTGCTGCACTGTCAATACTGCATTGGAAAGCAGTATTTCCAGAGAATAAGATCACCCTAGACTCCTTATGCTCAAAGGTATTTAGGAACCCAGTTCTCACTGATGACAGACTGAGTTAGACGTGCAGATACCTCTGGGGGTTTGTATCTTTGTCAGTTTAGTCTTTGGCCCATTGCTGAGTTTGCTGATTTCTCCCTTTTGTGACTCTGTATTTGGCTGGTGCCCATGCTCTTTTCCACACCAGTGTTTGGTGGGTTCCCAGTTGGCCCAGGGGCTGCATGCATTATCTACGCTTCATTCTCCCCAAGGATTTCAACATTCTGGTTGTATTCATCTAGTTACAAAATACACAGCTGCTGTACCATAGGAGAGTCACTGTGTCACTGGGATTTTTATGGCTCAATTCCAAAAAAATAGCATAGAAACTGAACTGGAGGTTTGGCAGGTCCTAAAAAGTATTCACTGCTGATGCCCCAGCCAAACACTGTGGTGTTCTCAACAACTTACTCTACTCAAAATGCCTTGTCAGACAGCCATCAGTATGACTGACCCCCATGGAAACTAGCAGTTTCTTAAAGAACAGCCACCCCAGAATGGAAGGCTCCTGTATAGCTGTATCTTTTAGCATCTCTTTCAAATGGATTTTCTGTAGTAGTGTAAATAAATGAAAAGACCAGTATGAATGGGTATTGCTTTAGGCAGTTCCCAGATTCACTTAAAGCTCAGTCACAGCATCACATTGGCATGGAGGAACCTAAAAAGGGTGATTCACAGATCCCACAAGTGATTTGCAAAGAGAATCTGGCACATGCTGTATAGAAATAAGGCTCCGATTGACTTAATGTGTGCGTACCAGATAGTAACAGTGTGGTTCCCATACAGCAGTCACACTAACAAAGCGATCATGAACAGTATTGCTCTGCCTTTCCCATGTCTTAGATTATACATGTAACCACAGATGCAGATGGGCAGGCAGGTTCTAAACAGCTGTGAACAGCTTCCAATGTGCTGTTTAATAACGTACCGACTTTCCATTTCATAAGCAATGTCATTGATTTCTACAGCCATTCTCTGAACCTCTTCCCTGGCTTGCTCTTCAGCTGTGTCCTCCATGCTACTCAGGATAATGTCTTCCAAGTAGGAGTCAATAGTGCTCTGGTGCACTTTCACCACCTGGAAGAGAACACCAACATGTTGTTCCTCTGCCTAACTGAACAGAAACAAGGGCAGGAAAGAACCAGTGGTGGAAGGAAAATTTATCCACGGATCCAGTTCTGCTGCAGCAGGTCAGTTTTGTGAATGCAATGGCAGTTGCTTCGTCAGTTCTCTGGTCTCCTCATGGTCCCCTGAGTAATAACAGCCAAATAATAATCATTGCTATTGACTTCAGTAAGTTAATCAGCTTTCATTCAAGCAAGTTCTGAAGAAAAAGGTTCCATCAAGCCAGTCAAGGTAACATAAATAAAACCAAGATAAAATTATTGGCTTCTTTATAATGGTTGTAGAGCAGAGAATCTAAGTGTTTTCATTCTGCTAGTCTGAAGGGTATATAAGCTTATAGCACTTTGACCATCCTTGCTTCCCACTCAGAGAAGCAGAAAAGATAAGAGAAGCAGCTAAAATTAAAAGAAAAATAAACATGATGCCAGACTCTCTTGGTATTAACCTCCTCCCACAAAGTCTGAAAATTATTGGTTTAGTCAATTAGGCTCCCACTCATTCCTTTCAACTGGGAAAAATATGCTTCATGCAGTCAGGAGCTAGGGAATAGGCACAGGACTATAGAATAGTTATGGAATAAGGTAATTCAGGATTTTTGTTTCTGGAGGTTATCTTATCCATTATCATTACTTCAGAAAAATTTTTGTACCTCTTATTACTTGCAGTCCAGTTTTGGAGGGCAAAATGTTTCCAAAACCTTGCTTAAAGGCATCCTTCCTGGGAGAACACCTAATAGTTCTGCTGGACGGACCAAGTACTGACAAAACATTGTTCCTAAAGATGACCTAGGTGTATCTGTTCTCCATAGGTTTATGCTGTGGAAATTCAGAAACCTACATTCATCCACGATATGCTTAACAGGACTGTTTGTAGGGTTATTAGATCATCCTTAATTTAATAGGCACAGCTCTTTTATAAAGGAGTTACCCTCTCTTCAAGAAGCCTTTCCCCTCAATTTTAAAACTAGCCATCACAGGAGTCAGAGCTGAAGCAGCTCCCTTTCACCTGGCCCCTTCCACAAGGAGGGAATTCCTACAAACTGCCCACAGTTCCACCAGTCTCCGTCTCTTGCCTGTCTGAAAACCTCATCTTCATCCTGACGCCGCTTCAGTTCCACCTGACGCCGTCCGCTCTCCTCTGCTTCCCGCATCCGCCTCTGCCTCTCAGCCAGCATGACAAAAGCATGGATCCTGCGTTCTTCTTGCAGCCTCACCAGCTCTTTGGACAGGAAATCAAACATGTTTGCCAATACCCTTCCTTCTTCCCTGGCCAAGTGGGTTTCCACTGATGACAGCTTTAAAGAAAAAAAAAAGCAAAGAATTGTGTTACAAATGCCTGGAATGTTGTCCGAAGTCCCAGGACTACCGCAGGCATGTGAAACAGCTCTGCAACGTTCAGACCAGCCATGGGACAACGCTAGGAGTTTTGCATTCTTCTTGTCTTACATGCACTGGCCTGGATTCTGCATAATATAATAAGCCTCTATATGGGCTCTGATGGCATAAAGAGGCTAAAAGATGGCAAAATTAGGGCGGGAATAACCCCGATACTGTCACACTGGGACAAGCAGCCCCTATGCTTGGGTGGGTGGGAGGAGATAAAGCACTACATGTGCCGTATTTCCAGGGATTATGAACTGCTTTTGTGGCTCTGAGTATAATCACAATAGTTGCTGAGGCCATCTGCTTGTTACTGGGGAATGCTCCACTGCCCAGACCAAGAAAGGGGAGGTATAAAACTGACAGTGAAATTACTTCAGCTGCATGCCCTCCATATGTCTGTGCCAAGCTTAGCTAGACCAGAACAGAAAAATAGGGTCAAAAGTTGCAAATGAAGCTTCTTTCTAGCATTTGGAAAGTAAACCCTCAATCTTTATAAGTGGGAAGTTTGAGATTTAGGTAACTGCTATTGTGAATACAGACACATTTCTATCCTCTCCTAAGGATACGAAACGTTTGGTACAATTCAAAGTCACCTCGGTGAAATGGTACATCTTTGGTTGGACATTCATATGTAACCAAAGTGATTCAACATGCTGAGGTAATACAGCAACCATGAGTCCCTACAGTTTTAGAAACTGAGTTATTACCTAAAACTGTACAAGTTATTAACTGCTATCAAATTCAAATCAACAGTTATTATAATGCACTTGCAAAAGTGTAAAAAAGGCCTCAAAATTCCAGGTAAGGGAAAATCAGAAAGTCTGTGACAGAATTGAGACTAGATTCCAGGTATTCAGTGTTACTGTGCCATTCATTCTTTGTTCCAAGCACATCCTGTTTTATGGGTTGAGTATGTGTGACTGCAATTCAGGAACAGACAAGATCTATAGTAAGTTCCTTATCTCCAGTACAGACTATGAAGCCACAGTCCTTGCAGGAGGGAATGTGTGGAACTGACTAGGATCCTGTGTTTCTGTTGGAATAAAGAGGAATAACAGAGTAAACAAAAACCAAAATCTAAACCAAAACCCTCAAAATGGAGCAGAAATATCCAAAACAATTAGAAATAAATCACCTTTCTTACACTGCTGTGCCATTTGCTCATGCACCGTTTCAAATACAGTGAGATTGTCAGCACTGCATGCAACTGGAAGTGAGAGCGTCTAGCCCATAGGTGTTTCAGATGGAGGACAGCAATACAGTAACTGCACCACCTCACAGAGAGGTACAACATGGAACTAGCATGCTGCTTTGTCTTTATTGCTCTAGGTGCTGTGTCTAAAACTGTTGTGAAATGGACGAAGACAATGCAGGAATACTCTCGTCTTAGACTTTAGTTATATACAAGGTTGGAAATTTTCACTGCTCATCCTTGACCATTTTATCTGGAGTTTCTGTCCTCTTTCTGCAGGAAGCATTTCTTGAAAAATGCCCCCTTTTATACTGGAAAGTTCAAAAGCCTGGAAAAAAACCCACCTGTGACCACCCAAAACTACAGCACTTCAAATCATCACTGACTTTCTAAAATAGCCACAAACATACAAAGCTCCTGCATGTGCATGCCAGAGAGCTTTAAAGTTCAAAATGTTTGGACACGTTTGAGACAGTCTCAAAGTCTTCAGAGACATAGTAAAAAACCTCATAAAGCAGGAGTACTGGAGGTAGATACCAGCAGAGGGGGATAGTGGCTCTCCCAAAAGGAAACTCTAAGATCAGAGGTCAGCATCACTATAATTTATTTTCTCTCTTCTTCTCTATGAATGTCATTATGGTGTGTGAGCTGCTCTCACCTTCCCTCACCTGGGCTTCCAGAAGAAAAGGAACATTCCAAGTTCCTAATGCCTAAAGCTTTTCTTTTTCTCTGAATTCCTCAGTGAAAAACATTCTGCATTTCTGTATTCCTGCATTCCACACCTGGGCTCCCTCTGTATGAGGGAGCATCTGGAAATTATAAACACAGTCACCCAGTTCAATTGTTACTGAGATCTGAGGGGAATTTTGTTGCTGCCCACCCAGCAGGAAGCAGTGGTCTGGCTTCATCACCAGCAGGCCAGTGGATGTTGTGATCATAATCTGCAGAATTGCCTCACAGCTGATCACAAAAAAACAGGAGAGTGGTAAAACCTACATGAAAACCTGCAGGAATGTGGGACATATTGTATGTCTGAGGTGCAGTGAAGCCCGGGCAAAATTTCTTTATGATCCATTTTCAGACCAGCATTGGCAATTTGATTCATTTTGCTCCAGAAGGTTGTGGTGCTGCAAGGAAATAGGCTGGGAATTTGCATCCCCAGCTCTCACTTGATCCTTGACAGAGGATGGAGCCCCAAAATTTCTCTGCTCTCCATACCATTGACAAGTACAACAATGTGACACCATTGCTAAGGTTCTAGAAGTCTTGAGCCCAGCCAGATTTACAAGGTAAGTCTGCCTTGGCTTTTTCTGCAATGTTTTATGCTCAAGGAGGAGCGTGAGAGGTTGTCAAGCTAGAAAAGGAACAGGGAAATGACAGAGCGGTAATACACATTCAGTAAAACATCTGACAGATGTGAGTGACAAGTGTCTATTGTGATGCGAGGTCACAGCACCAGTCAAATGGATTGAAATGCGGGGAAAATGAGGTTTGTCTGACAATGCAGTTTGTTCAGAGCCCTGTATATATAAGTGCTCTGTCTGCAAACAATGTAAAGGGCAGCTGGCTAGCAGCTGTGGTCAGGGCACCTCAGTCTGTTTCTGAGATTCCCCAGAGCCCCCACAGCAGTTAGAGAGCAACTTTAGCCCCTCAGGCATTCAATGCTTGGCCTGTTCTAGGAGAACAGGGTTCCTTAGGGTGCTTTCTGTGATGTGGATAATACAAGACATAAAGAAATTAAAGGTGAGAATGTTGGCAGTACCGCAAGCAGAGAGTGCCTGGTCAGGACAGTGTTGTGAATCAGCCTTCCCATCAATAAAGGCAAACCTTGTGCATATGTAACTCATGCTGTTGCTGTAGAGCCAGTGTCATTTGCTCCTCTGCTTTCAAAAGCAGATGTCCATCCTCCTGGAGTGCATGAGTGGTACGCAGCTCTCGGATCAGTTCCAGCTGCTTCTCTTTCCCTTCAAACATCTTTAAAATAAAGTAAAACAAGCGAGCATATTAAATGGAGAATATGCATCAACACGTTTTGCCCTTTTTATCCAAGATGCGAAGTCAGCTGTTTCCAAAACCTAGCTCTCTGTAACGAACCTGTGGCTGCATTTATGCAAACACTACAGCTGTCAGGTAAATCTTGCCTAAGCCCTCCTGCATGGAAGATGAAAGTTGAGACCTTCTGCTGTGGAATATAGATGATCCCTTGCTACTTTATTATTTTTATTTCTTTTTAATTCTGTTTGGCTTCACCCAGAACTCAAACCACTGGAATGCACAACAGCAACACCCATGTCAAGTGCAAAGGGCAATAGCCTTCTGGATATCCTGTTACATCAGCCTCAGTGTCAAAGTTTCCCAGTGTGAGCATTGCCCCCTTTCCTCAGTCCAGCATTAGATGTCTCCTGTTTCAGTATCTACTGTTCTCTGACCTTCGTTTTCAGGGAGTCCAGCAACAGTTCAAAGCAATAAATTGGTGTGGAGGTTCTTAAAACTGCTGCTGTTCTCGGGCTATGTGCCCCAGCCCTTCCCTGACACTGTCATTCCCACTCTCTTCCAACAGGACTTCCAACAGCAACAAAGGATCACTCAACCCTGCTGACATCATTTTCCAAGTCATGTATTTCTGATCCAGTAGTAGCTGGAAGGAGATTCCTAAAGTGCTGGGATGTTTCATGATGTGAAAACAACAGTCCTGCAATGGCATCAAACATGTTTCTTATGCGTCACCACAGAACTGGAGAAGACTTGGGAAGTCCTTATTCCACCTCAAGCCACTTTCACAGTATTGCATTGTTTGCTAAAGCTCCGGGTCAGGGTCTGCCATGGGAACACTTCACAAACATTAAATAATTAGTGCAAGAGAGGCTATCAGTTATATTCTCAGCAGGCATGAGAACAAGCATTCTGGACTGGTCTGATCAAAAGTTATAGAGTTGCTTAACATAAAGCCCATGAAGCATGGCTACTCAATTAACTTTTACCTAGACCCCCTTCTGCTCCACTGAAAGCAGAATGACAGGTCCTGCATTTGCTGGAAATCATGGTGGTATGCTTCAATTGCTCCTCATCTAAGGTTCAGTTCACCATCACAGGAAAGTGGAAAGATGGTATGAAATACAAACTGCCCGGCTGGGATGTGGGAGGTTTCTTATGCCTGGGATCTTGGCATAGTCAAGGCAAAATGTACTCACAGTCCAGATCTAGTCTAGAATTTGCTATTTGAATAATTCTGCTATGAAGCATCTAATTTAAGAGCTGAGTGTATGGAATGGCAGGAACTGGGAGACACTCACAGACATGAGTAGAAACCTAGAAGTTCCTGTAAGAAATTTGAGCTGGAGACCAAAGACTTCAGCCTTAAGGGACTCCAGATAACATACAGGAGGATATGCTGTAGAAGCCTCATTACCCTTGATTAATGCTGTGGAAAAAAGATTGCAAACATGCTTTCAGTCATTCTCTCCATCACTCTGAAGGGACACATAAACAAAGAGACACAGAATACCATGTTCTGAATAGCCCTGCCTCGGAGCAACTGCTGCAGACAGATCACTGCCAGTTCTGTTTCCTCTTCCTCCTGCCAAAACACAACAAATATCCACACAGTAATTGATTCTTTCTTTGGAGACTGAGATTTTATAGATTATCCATCTGACTATCAGAAAGTCTAACTTATATCCAGCTTTTTCTCAGTTGTTTCTGAACACCAATCTTATTTCTAGGGAAAGGAAAGTGACTCAGAATAATACGTACTTCCATGTTCTACAAGAGATGGGGAATAAAGGCTCTATAATTAGATTCAATTTGAGATTTTAGAGGGTCTTTAGAGATGAGTAACAAAGGAGATGCTGATGGAGAAAATTAACATATGCATTACAAGCAGTATTTGTAACTTGACTGAATCTGAGTTTGCAAAATGAGCATCAGCTACTTTAACAGGTCAAGACACTAAGGGTATAGAATTATTATTGAAGAGATCTGTTAACCATAAATAAAGGGATAAAATTAAAAGGGAATATATGAATTATTTTTTTATATATTTATTCCAGTGGTGACATTTATCAGAGTAACTCAGTTAATGTAAGACCCAGAAAGTGATAGTTTGGAAGTAAAATTAATTACATTATATTGTGATTTGTTTCTTTGAGAGCTTTATTGATCTAGCATTGTGTGACTGACATAGAATCATAGAATGGTTAGGGCTGGAAAGGCCCTTAAGATCATCCAGTTCCAACCCCCTGCCATGAGCAGGGACACCTCACACTAGACCATATCACTCAAAAGCTCTGTCCAACCTGGCCTTGAACACTGCCAGGGATGGAGCATTCACCACTTCTTTGGGCAACCTGTTCCAGTGCCTCATCACCCTCACAGTAAATAAAGAACTCCTTCCTTATATCTAACCTGAACTTCCCCTTGTACCAGCTTGGAAAAATGACAAAGCATAGTGGAAAAGGAAACAGAAGGAAGGAAGGACAAGGAACAAAGGGAAAGGAAAGGAAAGGAAAGGAAAGGAAAGGAAAGGAAAGGAAAGGAAAGGAAAGGAAAGGAAAGGAAAGGAAAGGAAAGGAAAGGAAAGGAAAGGAAAGGGAGATGGAAGGAAGGAGCTAGCTTATTTTAAATAGAGGAGGTGTAGCTGACAACACTTCTTGTTGCTGAGGGGTCTTCTAGTCTGGAGTTGACAGCAGCAGAAAGAAAAAGCCCATTGGGTGCCTAAGAAAGAGAAAAAGAAATCTAAAAATTGCAAGGAAGTTTTTTTAATAAAGAGCATATGAGGTCTGCATTGAAATTTGGTATTTTAGAAGTGTCAGAAAAACAGGGAAGAGCGTGGGATGAGAGAAGTGCTGTGGGCTTGAATCTCAGTATCTGTTTTTTCTTAGGTGTTGAAGATTAAGTTTTCCTGCCTTTCCCCATCACCACCCAGGAGGAGCAAAACAGAACTAGCCCATGGACTACCATACAATTTGGTATGTTCTTTTTCACTGGAAAGAAGGGATGAATTTCCAGTCCAGTTAGAGAGCTAAACAGTAACACACCACCTGGCTCCAGTGTGAAATCCCTTCAGGACAAAGCTTTGGATACAGAGATAGCAATATACTGGACAGGTAAGCCAAACTGCTTTGTTTGATTTAAACCAAGATCTGGTTCTAATTTTTGTGAGATGCATGTTTCTGTACTTCTGTTGTTCAGTGCTGCAAATGATGCCTTAGCAAGAGCAATCATCAGCTTCTCCATCTGCCCATCTGCTTGCTACAGACCAGCAGGAGAGAAGGAGGGGAGATGGAAAGCCTATCATGCCCTGCAGGGAAAAAATAAAAAAATTACTGAAAAAAAAGGTGAATTAAGGATACAGAAGGCTCTAGGAGCAGGCTGAAAACTAGAGGGGGCTGGGAGAAAGTGATAAAGCACTGAAGGAATCCAGAGGCACTCCGTGAGCTTGTTGTGGCTAGTAAGTGCATAAGAAATGACTGGGCGAAAGGAGTTGAAGAGGCCTGTAGTAGTGCCTACATTATCTCCACTTTCTTTTATACCCTTTGTGGCCCACGTCACCTGCCTGTCACTCTGCCACACTTTCGAGATCCTCAACTCCAGTGGGAAGAGCCTGCTGCACTTAACAGTTGGTACTTGAATGTGTGTATGGCAGGAAGAACAACATTAACAACAGAAGATAGCCCTGCTTTCAGTGCTCCTTGCAGCCAACTAGTAGGAGAAACCCTACTTGGATTCTGCAAGGCAGGAGATGTTAGTACTGCTCTTCAGTGGCTGAAGTGGCCTGATTTTACAGATGGAGCTTCACTGGAGAGCACTACTCTTTATGTGTTCACATATAAAACACTTGAAAATAAAATAAATGTTGACAGAATTCATTTAGGTAGAATTCCATTGTACTGGAACAAAACTCTTATAATGTGTACTTAAATAACCCCTAATCTGTAAACATGCTCAAAAATGACTACAACTGGAGGATAAATCTTTCTGATTTCTTTTCATGCTACCTGGAAGTACTCAAAAAATCTGCTAAACTGCTAAATCTGAACAGTGCAAATCTACCACTGCAATACAATATCTAATACCTAGGAGGTAGTAAAGCTGTAGAAAGCTCTTCCCAGGGAGGTATTCCTGTTTCACTCATCTTAAAATAGACTGTATAAAACATAGGACATCATACTGCACAAAAAAAGACAGCATGGATGATCTAATAAGACATTCTCTTTCTCACTTTCATGGTTGTGTGATTCTCTTAAATTCACAAGTTTAAATGGTAACTGTGTCTGATCCTTACTACATCATGAAAATGGTGTTAATAACCAGACAAGGCAATCCACTGGGGCAGCCACCTCTTAAGTATGTTACTTTAAGAAAGGAACAGAAGTTGCAGCTCCCTTAAAAAGCTGTTTTCTTCCTACACCATATCACATCCCCCATGACACATCATTACTGCTATTTCAGTCTCTGTAGAAGAACCCTTTTTTGTGAACTGCAGCAGGCTCATCAAAGACTGCATCCTGCAAGTTAATGAAGTGCATGCTCAGTGCTAAGCACCCAAAGTCTCACTGACTTCAATGGGACTAAACTTAATTGCTCTGCTGGAGTATGATGGTGTTGTCAGATCAGAAGGTTGGAATACACTGAATAGTAGTAATAATAATAATCATCATTAGCACTATCAACATCATCATCATCTGCCCTTTTATTCCCCTAGAACAAAGAAATAACATCTATTAATTTATGTCTTTATAAAATAAAGTCTATTAAGGATTTGGCCACAGCTATTGTAAAAGATTTTCAGTTCTTCAGCTGCTATTATGTTAATAGAATAGAGATTAAGAGAGTATTGAGAAATAGTGATGGCTATTTCTAACATTAATATACACAAAAAAAGATGAAGCTTCCTTCTTTCCCTGTCTTGGCATTCCTTTAAAAACTACATAGGAAACAATCAGGGATCAATAGGAAAAAGAAGTGCTAAAACCAGCCCACTTACAACTGATGGCTTTTCCAGGATTGGAGTGGGTGGCCGAGGAACAGGCTTTTCTTCTTGAAGTAAAGGGAGGGGCTTCTTCTTTGGCTCCTTGACTTCCTCCTTCTTCTCCAGTAGTGCCTGGAATAGACAGATGATGTAATCAGAACTGGGCTAGATAGCTCGCCACAATAAGGCCAGTCCTCTAGATGCTGACTTGTTACAAATCACACTGACTACAAGGGAGCTAAAAGTATTTTGCACTTTGCAGGCTTGTGGCTTCTATTTCTTACTGCACATCAACTGAAAAACCGAATATGGTCAGTAGCTGAGGGTATTGGATGGTCAGAAGATACTGATGGGAACGTCAAAATCATATGTAAGAAGGAAGCAAGAATTATTTTACTATATTTCCAAGTAAGTCATCAGCAATTGCATTGGGTGAGTCACCTAAAATTAATCTAAATTTGGTATGAACTTAATGTCTAATATAATACATTCTTGAGTAAATTCTTAAGTAATTTTTAAATAAAAGCATATTTCAGATTTTTTTTTTCTCAGTTTAAAACAGGAATCTTATTGAACCAATTAAACACTGACCCATATGCAAGCAGAGGCAGTTGTTTGTGTTACTTTCCTTATGCAATGGCAAAAACATTGATTATTTTCCTGTAAGATAGCGATGCTTTCAGAACATGAAAAATGGGTAGGAATATCACAATTTAATTACAGTTTACATGTCTCTACAAGATGGTTATCACTCTTTGCCTTTAACTATAGATATAATGCTTATTACTGTGGGCTAGAAATGCTCATCTGCAACAGCCTAGCAGTCCAGAGGCATCCACAGCAGCTGTGTGAGTGGACTAAGGGTGAACAGGAAACTAACTTGCCTGAGAACTTCCTTCTCCTAAGAAACTCCACAAGCTTATTAACAGTGGGGTTTATCTCACTTGCAGCTATTTGGTGGCAGAGGCGAAACCTTGTCAGCCAAAGCAGGCTTGGAGTAGAAATGCCACCACAGCCTCAACTCTTTCAAGACATTTCCAGACTGTTTAGAGAGCCAAAGTCCCACCAACTTCCCATCAGAGGGTGCTTAGAACAAGAGACGGAGATAATAATTTCTAACTAAATGGCAATGCTTCCCTGCTGTAGGACATCACACACCCACTATAAAAGAAAGGGAATAGAGTATGTATGTTTACATCTCCTTCAAAATTATAATCTTACTACTATATGGGTTGGATCTACAGTCGTTACTACTGAAAGAACAAATTCCAGCAAGGAAAAATGCTCCCTTTTACTTTTATTGCTCTCTTTCAAATGTCCAAATACAGTATTTCACTAGAGATGGAAACCAAAGAAAACCTTAAGAAAAAAATCCCATGCTGAATTTCTCTCTCCAGTAACAGGAAATCAATGGCACTTGCAAAGAATTTAATAGTGAAATTAATGAAGCTTTGAAACTCCAGTGGTCATTGTACAGGCCTCCTCTTGCATACTCGATCTGACCTTTCAAGCCAGGATCATTAATTGCTCCAGAAAGGGAGAGAGATTTCTAGGTGGAAGGGATAAAATGCTTTATTATTGAAAATTTCTGAAAGGGACCATGTTAATAATGCACGAATCAAGGCCTATAAACTGCTTATAAGCCATGTGAAATGGTTATAGCTCAAAAATGTTGAGAGATTTTTCTGAACTGTTTCTTGTATTTGATGACATTGGAGCTCTCTGGCATGAAGATTATAACAGCGCTTGCTATGATTTATAAGGTGTTCTGTATGATGGGGGTGGAAATTGAAAGAAAAAAGCTGCTGTAATTGTGGTTCTTCTGAAAACAATGGCTCCTATGTTTGTTAGCACAATGTTGCATTCATAAGTATTTTCCTAATAAAACCTAAGCCTCCCAAAATATTTCTTACTAACCAGAACAACAAAATACAACCAGAATAACAACTTTTAAAGTCAGAAAAATCTATGAGCACTTCTGACAAGAGGGAGTCCTTATTAATGTACATTTGAGAAATACTGCAGTTCCTAGAACTGGTTTTACATTTTCACATCAGCACAGCCTACTGCCTGCTTTGCTATCTTTACTGACTCAAAAATGCTCACCATTTTCCTTCTCTAATCTGAGGCTTTAAGTTATTTTAAGACTTTAATGCAGGAAAAGAAAAGAAAATAAGGGGGTTTGTATGAACTTGTTCTGCCTAACTTAACAAGATTCTGTTTTTCAACATGGGGAGGCCAGGGCCCAAGAATCTTTGCAAAATACTTGCTTTAAAAAGTGCCAAATTTCTGAACAACATATTTAAAATGTTACTGCCTATATATCACACACTAATTTTTCTGAGATAGACCACACTGTTTTTTTCAGGTAGTAGGTTCAGAGTCATGGTATAGTCTGGTTGGATTGAACAGTGAAGGACCACCCAATTCACCTCCTTTTCCTGGCAAGTGCAATGAAGAACAAATGGCACCCATGGTTTTAGCCATACACCTTAACTTCTTTGCTAGCTTCTGATAGAAGCAGAACCCTTGACAGGATAATGGCTTGAGAAACTCCTTTCTGTTCAAAGAAATCATTCTTTAGATTCCTTATCTTCTCTCTGATCCTCTTCTTTTCACAAGACACTGGGGATATTTTATTTTCAAATAGAGCACAGAGTATATAGTCATGTTTTTCTTTCTTCCTTTTTGCCCATGAATGAAGACGGCGAGATCATCAAGGACAGACTGACTACCGACTTTGCAATGCAGCATGGCTGCTGCATCTCAGATGATCAAGACTGACACAACAGCTCTTAGAACTTTGTCTGAGCATGAGCCAGCTAACACTGTATGGAGATCTGGTCTTGATGAAATAACTGCTTGAACAGGTTTTCCCATGCTTTCAAGTTGGCAGAGATTTTCTCCAGAGACATTCTTGTCCCTCCCCCTACTCCTCCACCTCCTTCCAGCAATCAGATAAAGGAAAACAGATGTGATGAGAGTTGCACTTAATGTTGAGGTGAGAGGTTCTTTGTTCTGACATCAGCTTGATCCAGCACTTCAAAACTACCTGACTCTTTACCCCTCTTGAGACACCAGAGCATAGAGGGTCTGTGACATCACATATTGTTCTGCACTGGGATTTCTTCTAGCACCTCCTCTGTTCCTTGGTGTATTCAGTTACCTAGTTGCATTGCTTTCCTATTACTATAGTAATACTATATTAGTTGTATCAGTATGCTATCTCCTCAATACCTTGGACTTTCACAGAAGGCTCTCTATGTAATGGCTCACATTCCTTAAAGCACTGTCATCTGTGCTGGCTAGCAGCTAGCTTTCCTTGTCCTTTTAAAGATCTAGCTTAAGATACAGATTGTTGCTTTTACAGTGATCCCTGGGTCAGTCCTGTTTCTGCCACGTTCTCTTGTTTCAGAGAATTAGTCAGAGAATTCTGAATTCTGAGCGTACATAATACTGCAAAAGTTTTCAGGATGGTCCTCAGGTCTAAACCTGCTTATTTTTGGCTTAGTTTCAAGTCTGAAAGAAGCTCTTCTTATTCTCAAGAGGACACAGGTCCTTTTTGTACTTCTTGAATAACTGCTTAGCCCTTCTTACAAGCTTTAAGCTTAGGAAAGCCCTCAATATGGCAAAACAAGAGAAACACAATGAGGAGGACTAGTCCATCTTGCCACTTATTTGGCCAGAGAAGCAAGCCTTGGAAAATTTCTTTATGACTTACTTCTGAGGCCAAAATCTAGCATTCCACCTCTATTTGCCACCTCCTTCAAGAGCTTATCCAGAGAAAACAAAATAAACTAATTCCACTGCCAGATCACTCTGTACTTTCTGAGTTTTCTAGTTTTGCTTTATTTCTAAGATTATGGGAGAAAATGTGTAGATTAAGTGTGCTAGGACAACACTAAAAAGAGGCTTTTGTAGAGAAAACTTGTCTAGCTGCTCAGCTATAGAAATAATGCAAGAAAACACAGTGCTCTTCTAAGATGATCCCTAATTGCCTGGTTTAAACCTCCTTCATGCTGTGTTTGATGGAGAATGCTGACACAACTGGGACTGCTTATGCCAAGCTGTCAGACAGCTGTCCTCTCCAGGGGGATTCTCCTAAATTCTGTTAACTCAAGTACTCTGCACCCTTTACTGCCCTGTTGTGAACAACTCCAGTACCTAATGAGGTGGACCTGTCAGAGAGGCCCTGCTAAGCCAGAACATGCTACAGCCACCAAAATTAAGATGCAAAAGACTCTGATGGGAGAAGTGACCAGTGACAGCACCATAGAGCTCAGGTGCTAATTAGAGCAGTGATTTCATATGGCTCTGAACAGAAAAGTTTGATTAAACCTAACAGTGGCTGAAGCAGTCTGGGTGTTTCAGTGTCAGTACTTTCTTCCTGTCTGGACCAACCGGTCTGGTGCCTACTTCTGTATTATCTAAAAGCAGCAGGTAGATTTTCATAGTGGATTTATCATCTTTTCCTGCAAAGAAGATGCTTTGTGTTTTTAAAAGAATATACATTTTGCCTTTTTATGGTGGGGAAATGAGTATTAGTTATGTTAGTCCCTCAGCTGGTAGAACCAATGTAGAACAAGTGATCTACATTGATTGAGAAAAGAAAATACACGCAATTGTCTGCTTTTGTTCTGCATTTTATCTCCCTTTGGTCACCAATTTTACTTTGAAGAGACATTACTGTGTAAGCAGCCAGCATTAGGGCATACTTTCAAACCTCAAGAAGTATTTTGAACAAACAGAATTCAGCTCTGCAAGCTTGGGCTAACATTTTGCTGCCTACAAGAACTGTGTTATGATCCAGATTATACCTAGTCACTACTGGAATTTTATGCAAGAATCGGCCAAACTCAAACCCCTTCAATACTACTGTGTCTTCTGCTCTAAATCTGTTGTGAATGAATGTCCTTAGATCTTCAACAACTCCTGTAGTACTCAAGATCTTGATATTTTTCTTTGTGAATCATAATCAGAGGCAATGTTTCATCTTTGACAAGATCCAGTGGAACTTCAGTTGGAGGTAATAGGATTGATTTTTTGGAACAAGATTTCAATTTCAAATTTGTTAGTAGAAAGTAACTGTCACCATTGAGAGTATTATTAATTACACTAAAGCAAGAAAGCTATACACATAATTTCCTATCATGAAATATTTCTTCACTAAATGAAGCAGAAGTTACCAAGCTTTACAAATGAAATTCAGTATTCTTCAGCCAGCCAAGAATGTGCCTGATATTTTTAAAAAGGTAGCCCTCAAAAGCATCACAAGAAGCATACTTAAAAGTACACGTAATTTACAAGTATTGTGATTGTAGATGGAAATGAGGCACTTCTTTCCCCAGTGGTTAACTGCATATACGGACACCTCATCTGCATGAACAGTTATGACAAATAAGATGCAAAAAAAAATATTAGCATGTTTGGAAATCAGATGCTGTTGTTAGGGAAAACAGTGCTGTGCATCCACCGTTCTCATCCAGTTTTATGAGTGGGGTCATTTTAGTCATGTTTTGCTGCAGGTGCTTTTACAATATGTACTTAAAAATGTATGTTTTTTAAAAAGGACAGAATTTTTAGAATATGAATCCGCATTTTGTTTATATAATTATTAGCACTTTGACAGTGTAACCCATAGGCTTGCCACTTGTGCATTACAAAAGGAAGGGAGAAATGAGAATGAGCAAATGGCAGGAGAGAATTTCCAACTGACATAATATGTTCTGATACAAACAACTGATCTGTAGGAAGACAGAAGCAGCAATGCTTTTTTTCTATAGGGTTGGAGCAGAAGTACAGAGAGGACTGAGTTGCACAGCAGTACTGGCCATACCTACAACAGTCTGAATGTTTGATCCATTCTGTCCCTGAAGTTGTCTTACAAACAGTATGAATGTAGCACAGAAAATTGGGAGAAATCTTACACGTGTCTTCCCAATCGCATTTTTGAGCAGTTCAAATGTAACAGGAACTGACATGTTGCTGGATGCAGCTCTATACCTGGTGAACTTGTGCCAGTGCCACCTCTAGCCTTGCTGCTTTTTTAACGTATCCAGTCTTAGTGATAGCTTGCTTAGGTTTTGGAGCTTTAATCTTGACCTGGGTGACAGAATCTGGGAGAGATGCTTCCAATTCACAGAGTCCTAAGAAATAGAAACAGTGATTAAATAATGGAGTGGTGGGTAGAGAATTTGAGGTTTGTTCATATTTTAACTAAATATGTCATAGAAACTAAGTCTTCCAAAATGCCTTACCTGCAAAGGTGTTAAGATAGAAGTTTTTTAACACGTAACGTTCAGAATGGTTGTCTGGAAAATAACCAATTCTAGACAAAGGAGCGTATGGTTGTGATGCAAAGTCAATATACTCCTTGATGATATCTCGTCTCTCCAGCTTCCCCATTACATTCTTCCTCTTAGCTATCAGTTTCCTGAGCACTGGAAAAGAAATACAAATGTGAAAAAGTTCTTCATACAAATCATTCTAAACCAGCCATATCTTTGGAAATTCACAAGAGCTTTTTCTAGTTAATATAAAAACATGATCTGTTTGACCAGAACAAATGCTGGCCATGCATATCGATATCGTGGATGCAACCTTTTTCATCTTGAATAAATACTGCAACCTTGTGAAAATAGAAATGCCTTGTCTGAAAACTAAGTGTCATACTGCTCTCTCCCATTTTTCAAACTTACTCAATGAAGTGTCACCCTGAATCTTTTTCATTTTCTCTTCTTTAGCTTTCTGATGATTTTGCCAGTGGGCATCCAAGCGCTTGGCAACCAGCTCATTCTGATTCTCCTCTTGCCTCCAGAGCAGCTTCTTCAAGACTTCCAGTCGAACCTTCTGCAACCTGCAAAGAAAGGCCAGGTATGACCTACTGTATTCTGCAGTGTTCTGTGCAATGCTGTCATCATCAAATACTACACACCAACTAATTTACATGTAGTTCATACTGTGTATCTTCTATTTAATCTTTCATTTTAACCAGTGAGTTTAGTACTGGTAAAAAGTACTGTGGCAGCGCTGTCTTATATTAAATCTAACAAATACATCGCTTCCCAAAATCAGGGGATTTGCACAGAAATGAAAGACTTGCACCTTTCAGCCAATCCCCTAAATCTTCTTGTTCCTTTTCTATTTGGCCAACAATTTCAAGAAATAAACTTTGATTCCTACTTTTCTATTTCCTGTTCTCTAAAGGCCCATTCCTTCCTCTCCATATCCTCCATCATTTTCCTCCTCTTCTCAATATTTGAGGCACTGTCCATGGCTGGAAGAGTTGCTTCCCAAGCACGTTTTTCCCGGGCGCGTTCAATCATCTCCACCTCAGCTAGTCCTGCTGGTAGACCATGACCTTAGAGGGACAAGAAACAGTAGCTCCTTAGGAGAATGGTGAATCCAGCAAATAACCACCAACAAAAAGTATTAGAGGGCTGGATGGGCACAAGCTCACGTTAAACACAAAAAGAACTGTCCACAACCTGAAGTACATGCTTCTAAGGCCAGTAAAATTTTACAGTATGAGGAATGGTAGGACCTGCATTTGCTGTGGCTTAGCTGACATTAACACTAGCACTTCATTCCTCTACTGCAGGCGGCAAAGGAGGAAAAGCTTTTCTAAGAAAGCACTTTCTGAGAATGAGCACTTCCTTTGGCATGTCCAGTGTCCATCATTATCAGAGGTGGAACAGTGGGAGATGAGGATCACAGGTATATTCTGGGGCAGCAGTGTTCATACTGTTTTTTACTGATGTTTAACTCAGAACAGGTGAAGAATGGTAGGTGAATGGAAAAAATGCTCCTAGTTCATATTTGTAAAACATACAAACTTTCCATATTGAGTAATACCAAAACTCTTTATAAAGTACCCCAGAACAGCGCTATTAAGTAAGAAAATACCATACCTATTTAAAAAATAGATAAAATACTGTGCCCCAAGGGAAGACAACAAAGGCCTTCCAAAGCTGGCAACAGACTTGAAACCTGACACTGAAAAAACAAAGAACCTCCTGCTAAAGAGATGATATGATTGCTATAATTTATCTCAGTTTCCCAACTCACCCCAAGTGAGTGTAGCAAGTGTCAGAAGTTCAGGGACTGAGCCACTAGGAACTACATATTCTGGGGAATAGGGATCCGTCTGGGCTTCACCATCTCTGTAATCTGTTTGTGTGCCCAAAGTTCGTAACCTGGGACTAAAGACCTTGCTGTCTCCTGTATGTGAATGAACATAGGGCTCTGTCCTAAAAAGAGATGCACGATGGAAGAATATTAGTCACATTCATTTAAAAAAGCAACAACAAACAAAACAGAAACACTAAGTCAAAGGTAGGGTATCCAAACGTGTTTGTGCTCCCATTGATTTACATTGATTAACTCCATTGTCTTTAGTAAAAGCAGACTGAGGCTACACAGAGTCTTTGTAACCTCCCTCCTTATGTAAACAATCCAGAAATCTTGTTTCAGCTCTCACAAGTTATCATCACATGCAAGTCTTCCCCATGTATGCATTCTAAAACATTGCTTTTAATGGGCAAAAGAAGTAACTAATGGTTGAGTGTTAGAAGAAGTAGGACTGCTTCAATTTAGCTTACATAATTCTCTTTCCAACAATTCCAGAATGAAAATTCAATTTTGATCTAAGCATGTGCAATGTCCATGACTCCACTAGGAAATGAGTCTTCTTAGGTCTCCTCAAAATTTGATCCCCACTGAAAACATCATCAGACTCCTTCATGAATGTTCTACATCACTGAACAGTATTGCAACTATCACAGACAGTTTAATAAAATATCAAAGATTTTCCAATAATATTGCTGTAGGGAAGAATCTTCCTTGCATTGGTATCTCTACTAGTACTCAGACACACTTGGCTTTCTGTTTCAGGCCACATAATCATAACACACTTGAGGCACATGTCCTTTACACAAAGTACTACTCATGTATAGCAAGCAAGTTCTCACACAAGTCACCTGTTTTGTCAGGAATTCTCAATGGTGAACAAAATCTTACCTCTTTAACAAGTTTTTCCTGTTGGTTCATTATGAAAAATATTGTACACCAGCTAGTTCCCCAACCTTTTTCTGGTGAGATGTGACCCATTACAACAGTAATGTTCCAGAACTCACTACTTACTGTGCCATTGAATAAGTAATATTTAGTGGAAGCGGCTTATAAGAAGTGATGAGAGGTCTGAAAGAGAGAGAGTGCAAATGTAAGACAACAACCATGAGCATAAAAGATCATTGAGGTTTAGAAAAAACTGCAGTCCACAAATTTTAATGGAGTTACACTGATTTTTCCATATCTCAGATTCTGTAGTTGCATCTTTATGAACTGTGCCTTAATATTAAGTAAATCTTTCACGGCTAAGGAGTAACAGAGAAAGTTTCACCAGAACGTCTGTGTGTTCTGTCAAAGCAGAAAGTGGAATTGCAAAACAAGGCAATAATTAAAGAAGCTAGGTTTGAGTGTGTTCACAACATTTTGTGCTTCACTGATTAGTTTACCTTTTTCCACTCTGGGTTTTTGAGAGGGCTTTTTTTCTTATAACTTCTTGAAGTAAGTCCTGAAATGAATTCCTACCATCAGCTGCTAAGGTAAGCTAGGTTGAACTTACCTAATTTGATTGCTTTTTTTTTTTTTTTTTGCTGTATTTTCTAAATTATCTTGAAAGTAATATGGGATCAATGACATTATTAATAATTCCTTCTTAGGCATTCTTATAGTTTGCATACTGCAGTTCACTATCATTTTCCCTTAGCCTTTGAGAGACTTTAATTTCAAACTGCAGAAGATAGCATCATCTTTGTCCTTCTGTTGTTGCTGTTTAAGGATCCATAAAGAACTTCAGTTTATTAAGCTTGGAATTTTTTTTTGTATTTAAAGTGGACCTATTGCTGATAGCTGCTGTCTATAATAGCGAAAGTGATTCAAAGAATATGTGACTAAGTTGACAAAGTTTATACGCTAGCTGTTGGTTCAGATCTTGAGTCCATTGGTGACCTGCAGTGTCACTCTGGAAGGAGCGGAGCAGCTCTGCAATGGAGGACATCGATGGAAAGTTAATCATGGATTCCCTTTGCTGCCTTTCTGTTACTGGCAGAAACTGGGAGTTAAAAGGTTCCTTCTTAAGAAGGCACCTCTGCAGGAGTCTGGAGAGCTGCAAGGGCTTTGTGAGCATCTTCTTCCTTTGTGTAAGAGGATCTACAGCACAGAGCTTTCTACAAATAATTAAGTACAGAATGCTTGGTATAACTGCTTATACGGTAACTCATTATCTGAGTCGAAAACCTGGATGATTTTAAACTAGCTAGTGTGAATACTGATAGCAGGTCAGCAAATGCAGTAGGGAGCTAAAGAACAGGCTAACTAGCTAAGGGCTTAGTGAGGAAGTTAGTATGAAGAATCAGGATGGGTGTGCAATCTTTACAGGCTGCCTAGCTGTTGCTACCTAGCTCATTTTAAACTAAGTATGCTACCTTGAGCTGTAGTTTAAGTATATACCAAGGTGAGAAGGCACCATGTGAAGTAACACATATTAACAGCTTTGCTTGAACATTATCTGAAAAATTCTGGCATAGCATGAATTTAAAATGACCTCATGATTAAAGATTTGGTTACTATTTAGATTTTCCATAGCAGCAATCGAACTGACACAAAGGACTGAAAGAAATAAGGCTCTGGCATTTATTTAGGTGCTTTTTAAACAGCACAAAAGCAGGTTTCTGAACTTCTGAACTTCAAATCAGGTCATCCCTTACCGTGCAAAATACTTGTAGCGATTCCTTCCACTAACTTCAGGATCTTCATACACAATCTGAGGTATCTGAAGAGAAGATCGAGCTCTAAAAGCCAAAGTACAGGGTATCATTTAAGTACATTCAGAGCAGTTCTGATCTTTTTGCTATGCCCTTCTTATTTTTTAATTATCTTTCTACTTTTTTGACACTTCATATATATCTCTCATTAGGTGTGAGCAAGAAATGGTCGTTTGCTGCCTTTAATAAAACTTTCTTACGTGCCTGTCATGAAGAGCATTTGCCAGTTGTAAATGCCTGACCTTGTTAACTACTTTTGTTGGGAGTGGGGGAAGCAAGCGCATTTCCTTAAGAGTAAAAAAACTTTCCATAACAGAAAATCTGTGTAAAGGAGTAGAATGAACAAAGGGGCAGACTATTGCTTTCTACTTTTCAAAAGTAGCTGAAGAGATTTTGAGCAAATGTAAAATATTTTAGAATCAGCAATTTCAATCTGAATGCTCCAATAAAGGACTAAAATAAGGATGACCATGTTAATGTTTCAAAAACCTGTGCTGCAACAACCATATCTTTTGCAAGAACAGTGTCTTCATTTTTTGCCCCATTTTTGAATTTAAAGGAGGCAGACGGTTTAAGTTCTTCCCTAGAACATCTTTGAGCCTTTTATTTTAAAGCTTATTTTAATGAGGTAGACCTCATTAAGGTAGTCAGTGAAACAATGGGTAGAACTGAGTCCTTTGAAAGCTATGCATCAGGACTCCTATTTGATCTCACAATCACTTTATCCTCCAGTCTTACTCTCTTCTCAACCTGCAAAGTGGTTAAGACAAGAAACAGAAGTTCTTTTTTAAAAACAAGCCAAAACCAAAAGCCCATACCATGCCACCGAGGTAAGTAATTTCCTTAAGCTGTGTATATATATATATATATATATATATATGGCAAGTCCTGAAGGTCATTTTTTGTAAGACCATTTTTTGGGTGGCTTTTAAGAAACCTGACCTCAGGATTGTGGGGTGCTGGAACTCGTTGCTATTGCCTAATTTTAAATACAGAGATATATTTACAGAGACACAATTAACAATACATAACATTGCTTGACAGCTGGGATCAAACCAGAGGATTCCATGCTGAGATCGCTTGTCTTCAAAGACCTCATCTAAGCCCTGCAAGATGCACTCTGGAACTTCGTGAGTCACTGTATGGCCACCTATTACAGCAAAGCCTACAGAGATAATGCTTCATTAACCTCCCGTGACATACAATTTACTGCCAAGGTAAGTTTAAAGTCATCTCTTCCTAGTGCTTTCAGTCCTGTCATTTAACAAAAGAGAGGAAAATGTTTTGGGATGCAGTGCAGTAATCTGAGATACTTGCTTAGCACTAATCAACCTGTTATTGTGAAGTTGTGTTTGTAATTCAAATGAGATAATGGAGCTGATGGCTAGTTCTACTAGCTGACTCTTCACATATCAGGCTGTTGCTCCATCCAGATGGGTTTATGTTTCATTCAGCACAGGTGGGCACTTATTCTTATGATCTAACTTTATTAGCATAAGCTGTTCATCCTATTATGGTACAGTTATAGGCACAATGGGAACCCAGTGAAACAGCCCTTTTTATTCCACAGATCCTGCCTCTTGCATGTCCTTGACTTATATTTGCTGACTTTGCTGAAATAAATGGGCATTTATTCCTGGTAACCTTGCAGAGGCAATGCAACTGCCGAGAAGACAGCTGGGAAATATGCTATCTTCTGTATCAGCAACAGTGTCAATCCATGCAGGTTGAAACAGAGGGGATGGATTTCTCTTTTTTTTTGTTAATTACAAGACATTTTGCAAATACATGTTGTTGAAATGTAAATCAATTTTAAAGCAGTGCAGGTGTCAAATTAGTTCTGGTTACAGAATAACAGTCAAGATAGAAAAAGCCACTGAGGTTTTCATTTGCTGGGGACAGTGTGAAATGCTGAAAACAGTAAAAAAAAAAAAAGGCTCAAAAATTCTTATTTTATTATGAAAATTAGAATAATATGCTTTCAAAACTGAACAAAACCAGGTGCTGTATCACCCTGAAACCATCTTTGATTACTGTCTGGCATGCGATGGAACTCGGCTACCAGCAACCCCAGAGCACACATCATCTGAAAAGCCTGTGGTCTACAGTTAGCTTGCTAATGCATCAAAAACCTCTGTAAACAACTATGCTGATGCCTGCAATCTTGAATACAGCTACTAGGGGATTCCAAAGAACACATGGTGTGGCAAAACACACAGAAGTTTGGTTTTTAACATCTGCAGAATCAGAAGCCCAAATTGTGATGCCTGGAGAAAGTTTAACTAAGACACCCCTGCACTAAAAATGTGGTGTCCTGGTTCAGGCCTTCTATACCCTTGAATAAGCAACAAAAGCAATCTAACCAGCTGCAACTCCACTGGTTAAAACCTGCACTGGACTAAAAAGAAACCGCTCCTGCTGAAGTAACACACATGAGTCATTGAAGTCAAGTTCATAACTTATCTGATCTTTAAGATTGAAATAACTCTCTTCCCTTCCCCAGCAACCTCTGCAAAGTGGATAACACAGAGATGAAGGAATGTGCAACATCCACCCTGTAAGAAACAGATGGGCAACCATACTCCACAACAGCTGCAATCTCTTCATTTCAAGGGAAATGTAAGTAGGAGCAAATTGCAGTCATCTCCACTTCAGTGTGCATGGGGTTTTGTTGGGTTTGTTTGTATGGGTTTTTGAAATCATCCATAGAACACTTACGCAGCAAGCTGCTGAAGAGCCACCAGGCGATGCTGAGCACTCCCTTTCCATCTTTGGTCAATAAATGGAGGTACTGGATCTTTGCCTTCCAACCACTCACCATAGCTTGGGAAATGGATCAAGGTTCTAAACATACTTCTGAGCACTGGTGCCTTTACCTAATGTTTGTATGGACACAAAGAAGAGTGGCAGTGATTAAGTGATTTCAAACAGCAGTGAAGAGATCAGAATTTCAGCTTGCTGTGATTTACACTACACATTTGAGATGGGGAAAGAAGCAGGCATACATATGTTAATGATGTCAGCTGGTTAGATGGTACTTCTCAAGATGTGGAGCATACCAGACTAGCAGCAGACACACAGATATGTCTTGTGGCCATTTTCCAGTGCCAAACTTACACTTAAAATTGAGGATCTAATGGTTCGTTACATAAAAACGTTAGTGCGCAGTAACTGTGAATGCGCAGTGATGTGAGCTTCCAGCACATTACCCCATGTAGCTTCCTCCTGTTTTGTTTGCTCTGGAAATGAAGTAACATATTCCACTTATTTTATACTGTAACAATTTTAGCCTGTGTTAAAAATACCTGCATGGGAGTTAGCAAACAAAAATGATCACATTAAAAATCCACACCCTTTCTTCTAAGTACTTATTTCCCTGGGTAGATATGCCTTAAATCTCCAGATTTATTATTGCAAATAAATCTTTGCAATCATGACTCAAGTAGAAGTGATGTAGCTATACTGGCTTGAGCTTCTTTAAAGCCTGGAATCAGATTTGAACTTTGAATCACCCCTTTTATTTCATCTGGTGCTAACCTGGATGGGGTAGTAGTGACTAACTACACTAACTCACCAGAGTGTAAGAGAATGTCAGATGATGAAGATTTGGACTCCCAACTATGTCCAGCTGCTTGCTGTGCGTGAGACTGCATTTTTGTTTCATTTCTCTTCAAAGGGAATTCAACCTCAGGACTTTGGAAAACCCTACAAACTAGTATTATCCCAAACTCTGTCCACTCATTTTGTGAACCTATACATTAAGAATTCAAAGTTGCACTGTTTTGAATTGCACACTGTGCCCTTGCCGATTCATATGCTTAAACCATGTTTCACGCAAGTCAGAGTCTGTCACCATACCCATCCACAACATCACACCTGGGACATGACATTAGTGACAGTATGCCACCTCACTTTGTCTGGCCTTCAGTGCTAACACAGCAATACTCTTGCAAGGATCTCTGTAATGACAGGTAATGTTTCCAGCTCTAGGTGTGTATCTTTCTACAGAGAGGCAGACAAACAAACTGTTGTGGTTTTTTTTCATGTAGACGTAGGAAAGAGACTGAGATAATAGGGTAAGAGACATCCAGAAGTACTCTTAAAAAATGTTCCTTGACTCCACTAATGGAAAGCTGCTCGTGGATTTTCTCCTCACTGTACAGCAATGCAGTTTCAGAGCTCAGAGCATCCTGCCTTGCAGGCTCAGTCAAGTGCACAGCTTCAAGAGGACTCTGTTTAAAATCCAATTCATTATGCAGTTGTACCAAGTCTGTTTTCCTTTGGCATTCTACCTATATGCAGCCTGTCCAGCCATCAATCACTGCTGTCTAATCGTGTGACTGCAACTCCCAGAGACACGCCCTAACTGGTTTTAAACTAACTAGGGTGAATACTGATAGCAGGGCAGCAAAAGCAGTAGGGAGCTAACAATGGGCTAATTAAGGGCTTAGTGAGGAAGATAATATGAATTAGGATGGGTGTGCAACCTTTACAGGCTACCTAGCTGTTACTACCTAGTTCACTTTAAACTAAGTATGCTACCTTGAGCTGCAGTTTAAGTATATTCCAAGGTAAGGAGGCACCATGTGAAATAACACATTTTAACAGCTCTGCTTGAACAACAGGCCAACTCTTTTTTAGATCTTAGTAACAGCTGCTGCTAACAGCATTTGGAGATAATCTATTATAAATAACAGAATTACAGAATCATAAAACAGTTTGGGTTGGGAAGGACCTTAAGATCACCTAGTTCCAGCTCCCTGCCATGAGCAAGGATACCTCACACTAGACCATATCGCCCGAGGCTCTGTCCAAACTGGCCTTGAACACTGCCAGGGATAGAGCATTCACAACTTCCCTCCGCAACCTGTGCCAGTGCCTCACTGCTCTTATGGTAAAGAATTTCTTCCTGAACCTCCCGTTTCAGTCTGAACCCATCATCACCCCTTGTCCTATTGCTACAGTTCCTGATGAAGAGTCCCTCTCTAGCATCCTTGTAGCCACCTTCAGACAACAGAAGCTGCCCTGAGGTCTCCATGCAGCCTTGTCTTCTCCAGGCTGCACATCCCGACTTTCTCAGCCCGTCTTCATACGGGAGGTGCTCCATCCCCCTGATTGTGGCCTCCTCTGGACTTGCTCCAACAGCTCCATGTCCTTATGTTGAGGACACCAGAACTGCACAGTGCTGCAAGTGGGGTCTCACAAGAGCAGAGGGGCAGGATCACCTCCTTTGATCTGCTGGTCAGGCTGGTCACACCACTGACACACAATTTAGGAAATTACTCAGGACATGGAACTGGGCATTTCCAGGCTGCTGCTGCGGCGTCACCCTAGGCCAGGGGATGTGGTAAATCCCTGCATTAAGTCTTGTTTTAGATAAAACTGCTTCCTTTGCTTTGTATTTTGGTTTTAAAGGGGCAGCTTAGAACTGAGTTTCTACCCATGTATATATGCGTATACACAGAAATAAAAGGTGCACAAGTGAGCTATCTTTGGCCAACACCTACCACTTTATCACCAACAAGTGCATTTGACTTCGAATGATCCTTCTTACTTGACAGTGTGTATGGAGGGTCTGAAAGATAAGTGAACAAATGGAACTAGTTACATATTTGAGGAATCTGTGTGAACGGTCAGGCTCTGCTTCCATCTTTAAAAGTCTGTAAAAAAAGACAGTATAAAACAAACTAGGAAAGAAAAAACTGAAATATATGTCTGCATACCAAAGAAATTCCACCATCATACAAAATAAGCCTCAGAGCTGAAATACTGCTGTTCTGTAGAACAAGAACATGACCAAAGAAAAATGTTTCTTCGGAATCACTTAAACAGAAAGTGAAGACATTACACAGAAGGAACACAGAAGTAAGCAAGCACTGTAATGAGTGGAAATGCACTGTAAACGATGCTTCCCTCCAGCATAAAGAACTAGTGTTGGCTTTCCCCCAGCTCGCAGGTGTTTTATAGTCCCAAGACTCCCCTCACCTCTGGTACGTTACTGCTGCCAACCCCAAGGCTTTACCGCTGTACAGCTCTGCCCTGCTCCACCCTCCCGTTTCAACCCCTCTTTCCCGACCCAGCTCGTTGCCGGCCGGCCAGTGACAACCCCGGGGCCAGCTCTGACCGCGAACCTCATCTTACGGCCCGGGAAGAGCGAGGGGCCTGCTCGGGCAGACCAGCCGCCTCACGACCTTCCCGCCACCACCCCCAGCACACAACACCCCGCACCCGGGAGCTGGACGCGGCCTCCCTCTCTGCGGAGCTTCCCCCGCCCCGGGGGCTGCAGACAGGGCAGGGGGCGCGGGTGAAGCCACTGTCCCTCCGGGCCGGACCCGGTACCGTAGGGGTAATAGAGGGTCCGACCGGAGGCCATTTGTCGGCCGTCCCCAAGGTGCTGGGCCTGCAAAGCGCCGGTCACCGCGCGGCTCATGGCGCCTCCGGCTGCGGTTCCCATGGCGACCGGCGGGCGGGGCCGGGGAATGACCGTGAAGGCCGGCGCTCCCCTTCTGCACTGGTGGCTGCTCGGGTCTTTCCCCGGGGACGGCCTCACCCCACGGGTTTTCTCCCGCCGCTTCCTGCGGATCCCGGGGTCTGTGACTCCCCTGCGGGCACCAAGACCTCTTAGGCGGCGGGGCCTGCCCGCCTCCATCTTGTGCTACTGCAGGCGGGGCGGGGAGGGAGCCGACGGTGCTCGGCGTTCCCCTACCCCGGCGTGGACAGTGGAGGCGCAGGTGTTCATGCTCTCCACATGAGAAGCTGCGGAGAGCCCGTGTCCTGGGCTTCCCAGTGAAGCTGGTGTGGGGCGGCTTGTCTGTCCATTGAGGAGGATGGGGAATGGTCGACGGGGAGGAGTGGAGGAAACAGGGTGGAGGTGTGTTTGCTGTGATGCTCTCCGGTTCCCCTGGGCCCTCACTTAGTGCTTAAGGAGAGAAGATTCCAGGGAGACCTTACTGCAGCCTGTCAATTCTTAAAAGCGGCCTGTAAGAAAGACGGGGAGAGACTTTTTAGCAGGGTCTGTTGCGACAGGACGAGGGGTGATGGTTTTAAACTGAAAGAGGCTGGATGTGAGGAAGAAATTCTTTACCATGTTGGTGATAAAACACTGGCACAGGTTGCCCAGAGAGGTGGTGGATGCTCCATCCCTGGAGACATTCAAGACCAGGCTGGATGTGGTTCTGGGCAACCTGATCTAGTTGAAGATGTCCCTGCTCATTGCAGAGGGTTTGCACTAGGGGAGCTTTGAGGGTCCCTTCCAACCCAAACCGTTCTATGAAAAGCTGTTTAGCAATTGGGGATTGGATTTAGGCCTAAATATTCTTATTCCTGGCTTTGCTTGTCACTGCTTATGACTTCTGCTGCCATAAACTGGTGAAAATAGGTTTGTTACCTACCAGCCCAGAGAGGCTGCAGGTGGTTTTGCATTTGTAAAGTGCCTTGAGAGCCCTGCACAAAGCATTATGAAATAGTATCGTGCTTCAAAAAACGTTCCTGTTTTTGCAAGGAGGAGGTCACCATCTTCTATGAGGAACAAAGTTGGAAGCTTCTTTATGCTGTTAAAACAGGAGGGGCTAACGCTTTTGTCAGCCTAAGGAGATCTGGAAGCAATGGTGCGAGACTTCTTTTGGAATAGGACATAAAAAGCAGAATTCCAAGTGCGCCCTCTCCTCTGCCTGTACTCTTGAAGCAGGTCCCTCATGTTAGTTATTTTGTGTATAAAACTCTGTATATCAGAGAATTATTCACAGCTTTTCATGCCTGACATAAAATTTGGCCCCTCAGTGCTCATCACAGGAGAGCAATGTGCAGGCTGTGGTTCCAAACTCCTTGGCTCTGACAGTTTATACATAGACATTTAATTCAACTTTGAATGTTGGTTTACTTCTTAAAGGCCCATCACTTGTTCGAAGCAACAACTTCTTTCAATGTAGGTCGATGGAGTATTTGAATGTGGGTCTGAACTAAGGAGTGCTGTTACAGCGCTGTGGCTGAATGACATCTGCAGGATGCTACTTTCCACAGTGCCCTAAGGATACCCAGCAGGCTGTAAAGACTCTCATTTTACTGAAGAACTTTACAGTGTGATACCTTATTATAATTATCGACAGTAAAAGTCATTTTTTAATAGAGTTGCCCAGAATTTCTCATGATTGAGTTTTCCTTTTTTGTATCTCATTCATTAGAACTCTATAATTTCCATGCTGCAATTTTTCCATGCTGGACATCTGCCTTGACATAATAAGGTGTGTAAACTGTCCCTTGGCCAAAAAAATTATTCTTTGTGGGCTCCACCCTCTCACATTTTTCGCATTTAAGAGTTGACTGGATGCAGGTGGCCTGGACTTTCATCTTTCTGATGAGGGAAGCCTGATTTGACATCTGATTTGACGTCTGATATGATGAAGCCTTGGGTGGCATGGTTTAGTGTGAGGTGTCCCTGCCCATGGCACGGGGGTTGGAACTGGATGATCTTAAGGTCCTTTCCAACCCTAACTATTCTGTGATTCTATGATTCTGGGAAGGAACTCAGTGGAAACCAGGTGGAGAAGAACAACAGAATAATTACATGAACAGAGTACAACAAAATGCCAGGGCGTAGCATAACAGATGAGTGCTCTCTGGAGTTGTGGAAGACCAAAAGCTGTAGTCCCACTATTAACTTTAACTGCATTAAATTGGACTCAATGTTAGTTGCTACCTTCTTTGTTCACTATAAACTGCCTAGCCCCACTGCCTCTGATCTATTGGTGTCGCAGCTGAAAGACTATGTGGGGAATTATTTTGGGAGACTGATGTGGCAGAAAACTACCCTGTCAGAAGAGGAAAGATTAAAGTTTTCAGGTCACTGCATAACTCCCTGAAGACTAATACTTATTCATGGGAGGTGGCAGGTATATGTGGCTGAGCTAAAAGCTCAAGGTTTAGGTTCATGGAGCTTGCTTAGATTAGATAGGGGGGCTGTTTGTGGAATACTGGCCTATTTTTAACGAACATTTCTGAGAAACCTCTGAATGACAGATGTGAACAGTGAATGGCCTTACAAGTGTTGAAAGGTGTTATGATTATTGCTATCTTGAATGTTCTTTGCCTGAAGTCTTTATATTCCTGTGGAGCTGCAACTGGAGCAAAACCTGGCCGGGGGCCCTGACATGCTGGTGTGTGCTGTGGAATACACCGCAATGGTCACGTGGTGAGGTTTGGTCTGAATTGGTCTTCTTGTTTGGTTGGTTGTTTATTTTTTAAATGCAGATCAGCCATTTCCAACAAAAAAGAAGCTCTTTGCTGCAGTTTTCAAAGAACTTGACTGATGGGCTTTCCCCTCAGACCTGCAGCCATAGCATGATTTTTTGGGGTGTTTTTGGTTGGTTTCTTCCCAGTAATAGCTTTTCTAGAACAAGACTGTGTAACTGAGCTGGGGTGCTGTCTATCTGCTTTTATTTATAGCCACTTGGCTCTGAGGGGACTCCAGGTGCTCAGATGTATGAGCAAACTGTCCACACCTTTGGGAGTTACTGTGCAGTGACCGAGTGTAACTCTGCAGGAGGCACTCTGTGCCAGGACATGTTGAAAAACTGTGGTGAAGTGCACTAGTTCAGCTGCCCGTGAAAGAGCCTGAGCCAAATGCATTTTACCTTGCATTAACCTTGAGATAAGATGGTGTAATTTGCTTCAAGATGAATTACTGGTGCTCTGTTGAGGGACTTGTTATGCTGTGATGACTTGCTGATGTGTTTGAACTGTAAAATCAGACAAAGAGAGGTGGAAGATTTAGGCAAGAGGGTGGGACTAGGCATTCCTTAAGGGCAGAATAGCTGGACAGAAAAGATGGATTGGATGTGAAAGTGCAGTTTTAGAGGAGAAATTTGGCTGGCTGAGCAAAGAAAAATTTGTAGAAGGGTGGTAGCAGTGTGCAGGGGAAGGAGGAAGAGACAAGGTGAGCAGCCGGTAAAGTGGAGCAGAAGTAATCTGGATAAGAAAATGAGAGGCCTAGATGTGGAGCTGAAAAAGTGGGGAGGGGTGTGGAAAGGCAGGATAGGAGGGGAGAAGGCAAAGAAGTTGAGCTAAACAGATGATGAGTCTACTTGTGTGTTCCTTCTGTCCTCCAAAGCCTAGGAGGGAACTGGGTTTCTTGAATGTGATTTCCCCCCTGCAATCCACGAGGACCTGTGAAACCCCTGGCAAGACATAATCCATCTGGCTTTAAACTGAGTATGCAGATGGTCCTCTTCTGCTCTGTGTCAAATGACAGCCATTTCCCATTTTTGCCACAGGATGTCACCATTTCTCCATGTGTGGTCCATCGCCGTCTAACCTGGGTGGCACCAGTTCAGCGCTTCTATTAAATGTGAAATGAGATCAAATTAATTTGGCCTTTGGACTCACCCAAGGTAAGCCCACACGGTTTACTAACTGTGTTCAATAAACAGCTCCTTCCAAAGGTGTGATTCAGAAGGAATGGGAAAGCAGCAGCACAAGGCTGCAGTCAGTGTGATTGCTGAGTTTTTAATCCAGAAGAAGGGGGCATTCCTCCCAGCCCACGAGAAGAGGTGGTGAAGGAGAGTGGGGAAAAGAGGAGGATGAAGACGTGGTTGTTCGTGTGGCAGAAAGCTGAGGTAAGCCTCCAGAAGGGGTGAGAAGACAGATGCTGTGAAATCTAATGTTTTGTGGAGTGAGGCCTTGTCTGTCTGCTGGCTTTTGGCTATAGTAAGGCATCTTATCTGTTGTAGAATACCTCACTTGTAACCTGCAACATCTTTTGTAAAAATGACCTTGGAGTACTGATGTGGTGAATAGAGCTTTGCCAAGGTCTTTGGTTTCTTTGTGCCCTTAGCTCTGCTAAGAGAAGCATTTTGGGAGACAACAGCTGAAAACAGATTAGTCTTTAACGGGAGACCTGTTCTCTCTTACTTTGCATTTCTTAGTATGACTGCTGGCCCATTTTGAGTACTAAAAGCAATCTACAGATGAGAATAGCCTAAAAAGCCAAAGTTCAGAGAAAATACTCAGTGATCACAGTTAAAAGGATTTGCTTCAAAGCCTGCTGAAAGGTTTCAGTAATGGCTTTGAGCTGCACTTTTGTAAAAAAAGGCAGAATTAAGGACATTTTCAGCCCACAGTTCAGAGAAGTCCAGTTTGTGACAAAACCCCAAGTTTACTAATATTTCAGGCATCCTGTGAAGGCTATTCATATACTTAATTTCACTTGGATTCGATGAGCTCTGGATAAGCTTCTTAATGAACAGGGATAACATCTGGATGATTTGCTGGGCTGCAGTCAGGAATATTGTTTCCTACTTGCCTTGGTAGGAGAAGTATCTTGGATTGAATTCCTTAGGGAACTAGTGAATTCCCAGTGTTCGCATTCCTCCCGCGTAATACTCAGAGGAATAAATGGCAATGCCAACACGTTAGCTTGCAGCTTTCAAGTTTCAGTGTGTTAAGACATTTCTATTCAAAATTAACTTTACATTTCCTCTGTTCCTTGCTGATCAGTCAGTGGCTGAATCAGCAGAGGAGATGCTACATCCTAGTCAGAGCATAAGAGGTAAGAGAGCAACATGAGGAACAACTGATGGAAGGGGAATATTACATTGACTTAGCAGATAAGATTTTATCCCATATTTCTGGTGTTGAACTTCAGATGAACTTGTATTTTCAAAGCAGTCCAACTACTTGCTCCTGAGATCTGGATGAGGAATGTGTTTATACCTGGGTCGTGATTGGATTCCATGTCTGCTTTTCCTGAGTTTGGGTCCAGCCTTATCTGTCAAATTTAAAAGTAAATAAATTAACAACTGTATTTGCTGGTAGCTGCCTGTTCAATGGGGAGAAGGAGGAAAGCCTAGTGACTGGGAAAAGGGAGTCCACGAGCAGGGAGGGAAGGAAGGAAGGAAGGCAAGAGGCAGCTGTAACTGAAGGAGCTTGAGGAGGGATGGGTAGATGTTTCAGTGAGTGGAGGGGCTTCCAGCAACCACTGACTTCCAGCTCTGGTGACAGCATGGAGGTTATAGAAGCGACTAAGCTGTGAGAGGACAGTTCTTTCTTTAAAGAAAGGGCAATCCTAAAAACCATTTGAGGCTTGTTAATAGTCTGGATGGGAAGATGTGAATTGCTCTGTGTTTCTCAGCCTAGCCTGAGGAGAGGCCCTACTGAAGTACTGATCTCCCTAATGCTGGACTGGTGGGGAATGCTCAGCCTGCAGGGGTGCAGGGAAGGTTTTCTCACCAGCAATGGCCATCATAGCCTCACCAATCATCCTGCTTCCCCCAGACTAGGCAGGGGGCCAGCATGATTAAGAGTGTCAAGGACTGTAGAGAGAAGTTTGTCTCATTGAGCCAAGGAGATCTCTCTACTCAGAAGCTCAGGAGTTCAGTAGCTAGGTTTTTACTGGCTGCTTGATGGAATGGTTTCTACTAAAGCCTGCAGTAGTGAAGGCTCAGCAGTTCAGCAGACAGGGAGACATGTAGTATGTATTTATCTGGTGTGTCAAAAACTATGAAATGGAGTACCTTGCTGCTGACCTTTGCAGCATTTCTCTTCTCCTTCCTCTTTCTCCTATCGTTTGTCAAGTCTGGCTTCCAGCTATTTGGAAAACTTTTCCAGGGAGTGAATGCTTATATTTGCCTCAACAAAAGGGAGCACCAGGGATCTTGATCTTCTGTGACCATTTTAGCCACTCTCTTCCTGGAAATTAAAGAGCTGGACAGAAGTTATAGAGACTCATTTTATATTACACTACATTCTTAATTCATCTTAAACAATTAGTGCAACATGATCTGAATCCTGCCTATTAAACCTTTCAAAACCATTGTATTTGCTTATCCTTAATTGCAGCCCACTAGACAGAGGTCTGCTGAGGGCCAGCACAGATCCAGGGACTTGGGGGAGACCTACCAGAAATAAAAGGGTGAAACAGCTGTGACAGGGCATTCAGGCCATGGGAAGATGGAGGCTGAACAGAACCATTTCAGGGATTGGCAGGGATGCATCACTATCACTTCCCTTGTGTAAGAAACAGCCAGTGCTGTCTTCAGTCTTGAGAGTTCCCCTGGCTTTCCCCTGTCGTTGCCCCCACCCACATTGCCCTTCTATACCACTTCCCAGTCTCAGATGGTGGAGAGTGAACAGAACACAGTACAGGATCTAGAGCACATCACTGATGTCTTGACATATCAACTGTGAGAGCACGATAGGAATTTGGCATCTAGCATGTTGGTCGGGAAACACCCTCTCTTTGATCCTAAGTAAGTCTTTGGAAGGACACCTAGGGGAATCAGACCTGAAAGAATCCATTCTGGGTTCTAGAGTAGTAGACTAGGGACTAGAGTAGTAGAAGTTAGTGATGAGCCTGTCCAGACAGGATGTGTTGAGTAAAATTTAGTGTTTGTTACACTGAGTGAGAACTAACCCAAGACACTGCACAGCATACTGTAGAGCATATTGAAAACTAGGGCAAAACAGTCAGGATATGGGCTTGAGGTGAAGGCTTAGTTGAACTCTTCTGCTATGTAGGTGACTTGTATTCCTATGTCATGTCTTGAAAAAGAATTGTACTCCAGCTATGTAATGTATTTAGGAAGATGTCATTGTAAATAGGCTGTCTTCGGAATTCCTCCACCTGCATATGAAGATGCTCTGATGTTTTATATCTGACTCTTAAGCATTTGGTTTATTTTAGGTGGGAATAAGGATTCTAAATATGTCCTTGATAAAGTGACAATAATGATTATTAGATTTACTTAGAAATCCTTCTCCTAGATCAATGAGAAGAAAAGCAGAAGAAATCTAGTGTAAATGAACTTGGTGTTCAAAGTTGAGACCTGGCTTGACCACTGATGTAAAACAAACAGCTTAAGAGTGAATTTTCTACATTATTTTGTAACTTTGTGAGTGACAGCTGCAGGGAGTCTGAACGGGTATCTAAATGGAGATATGTGATGTTGCAGCCTGGTTACAAGCAGCTTGCAGCACTGTACAGCATATGTCTTGATGCAGTATTTAAAAGGAGCGAGATGCTGGGATGTGAGCACGTAGAATTATGCAGCTGCAATCAGCAGCATCTCAAAAATGGAATGACTCATGCATTTGTAAATACTAATGATTCCTTCCAGGCTGCCAGTTAGCTCCCCCAGTTTGTTGTGAACGTTAAACTATTTTATGCAGTGGAGCTTCACATTTCATAAAACACAGTCAAGAGAGACTTGAAGAGATTCAAACAAGCCAGATTTGATACAGACACAAACATCAAAATGGCATGCCACCAAGCGGAATAAAATGGTTAACAGCAGCAACACTTAGGGGGAAAAAAGGACAACTGGAATGCGTGGAGTGGAAAAGAAGTGAAATTGCTGCTTCTCAGTTGATTGACAGCTTAACACCATTTGCTGGAGCCGCACAAACACTGCCTGGTTTGCAGCAGAACTGATCAAGGTTAGAAGATTGTATTATGGAGCATTTTATGGAACTACAGTGAGGCATTTTTCTTCCATACACAGACAAGTAGACTTGGGTTCTGAATGACATTTCCTCTAACGCATACACACAGACTTTAGGTGGCATTTGATTTTGCATGGTGACTAATTGGAGATCATCCATGCATGCATGTGGTGCTGCATATTAACAGTGGCACAGCTGTCTGGTTGCTTGGGGTCACATTCTGATCAGTTCTGACAATTCATAGAGGGTTGTGCAAAAGTTTGGAAGTCTTACTCCTTCAAGTCATGAGAAGTGAGAATGAAAGAGGGTTCCTGTTTGGAAAGAATTATACAGGCAGCTGTCTTGGTTAACTCTGCAGTTAAAAAAAGATAACTGAGGATAGCAAAACTTCCCCCCGTGTGACTAGTGTGTATCTTGTTCATGCCTGAACACTTCTAAACCTGGGGCTAATTTTTTTCTGATTTTTAACTGAAAACAGAGTCTGAGTGCAGCGGAGGGACAGACTGTTACAGATTCATGTCTTCTGGAGAATTTGTGATGTTATTTTTCAAATGCAAGTTAGGATTTTCTGATTCCTGAGTTACTAAGCATAGAGACTGTCAGACAATACACACTTGTCTTCTTCAGCCATGCTCTTTTGTTGTGTTGGTAGCACACGCAGCCATTTGAGTACAAACACCTGGTCCTTCCTTCCCACCAGTCTGCGCAATGGGATCTACTCCAGAATGCTTGGATTTTCATGGGTGTTTCCCCCATAGAAGGGAGCAGCTGAGGAAGCACTAAACTAAGCCCAGCCAGGCTTAAAACGTTCATCCAACATCAGCTGCTCCCTATCTGCATTGTGGGAAAGCTGACACATATCCAAAGGCTTGGCTGGTTTTGCCTCCAATGCATGTGGAACAGGCAGGTTACTTTGTGGCAGAGTTCAAAATTCCTTCTTTTGTCATGTTCCCAGGGAGCTTGCATGCTGAATTTGCAGTGTTGCATGCATGGCAAATCCATTATCTTTACTAGTGTGTTTGGATATGCTTTCAGCAGGCAGTGAAAGGAAAAGGTGTAACGAAAGTGATAGTGGTCATAGTCTTAGCATAAACTGTTGATGTGCAGAAAACAGCGTCTTGACTCTACTGTAAAAACCATGGTTTCTGAGCAAAAGCAAGCAGTGCAATTCTTTAAATTAGTTTTGCTGCAAATTTTGACTAGGCCAAGAGTTTCTGCTCTGCTTGTTGTTGTAAGAGAGTCTTTACACCCTAACCCTAACCCTAGTCCACAGAGTCCTGATCCTAGCATGAGATCCCAGAATTTTTGAGATGCTGTGTGCCGAGTCCTGCAATGTCAGATTAAGTTCGGGTTCTAAAGTGGAAAATGACTGCGATCTTGCAAACTACCTTCCACCTCCAGCCTCTGATGCTGTGAAGATGTGACCAAATTTCTGGCAAGAGATGGTCTGTTTGCAATACTAGTTTGTAGGGTATTCAAAGAGACAGAAATGCCTTAATAGTAATCTTCATTCTACACTTGTTTCTTTAAGGGCTTGCTTGCCAGTATGAAAGAAGACTCTTTCCATACAGCCTTTTGTGGGTTGTCTGTCAGGAGGGGATGGTTCAGTCCTGTGGTACAGCATCTCTGCATGCAGTAGTCCTGAAACATGGAAATTTGCTTCTCAGCCTGGGAAGGGACTGCCACATCACTTCTTGAGGTGATTTTACCCCAGTGAGCCACTTGCCTTCACCTAAAGATGGAGTTTGAAGCTTAGAGGGGATGTAATTAATCACTTTAGAGTCTCTTCTATTGTGTACTAGACCAGAGCAAAGGCCCTTCTATCCCAGCACTGATTCTCTCTCAGGCCATACTGCTGAGCTGACAGTATTTGGTATACTTTGCAGCTGTTCAAAACCAAAAACTCTACGCTGTACTTGGGCAGTTAATATAATAGGCAACAGGGCCCTTTCAGGTCATCTTGTTCAGAGGTTTGAAGTCCTGTAACACAGGCAACTTCTTTGACAATTAAACACAACATATGGTTGTCTGGGCTGCTGGGGCAGTGGCTGTCTCCTGTTTATACTAAGACAAAGACAAAACTATCTCTCTAGACCAATATTAAACAGTTTCTTTTTTGCAAGTTGATAACGGGTTAGTGGTTCCCAGAATAGGCAGTGCATGAAAAAGATATCAAAATAGTTCTGTTTCACCACACAGATTTTCCACAGCTTCAGTTAGCTTCTGTCATGGGTATCAGAAGTGTAAGAAATCTGGAAAACCCCAGACTGCTACCGTTAACTGTTAGTGATCGGGGTTTACCCTGCCTAACACTGAATGCAAGTATAGCTTTGAGGTTTCTTGAAAAGCATGTCCATTTGAGTCTAACAGACAAGTACTTCTTTTTTTGGACACCCATTCTTTTAGCGGTGTAACTGAAGGCAACGCAATGACTGCCATGCTACTGTGATGTTTATACATCATGAGTCACTGTTGGATGTTCTTGAATTCTGATAAAGGCCTGCATGGAGCCCCATGAAACCCATGCCACTGGGCAGTGTAAGTGGGACTCCTCGAACCCCAGAGCTGTAAATGGCCAGTACTATCTGTAGTCTTGTAATTTCACATGTGGCACCAAGCTGCCAAGTGCCACGGTAGATTGAGGGTCTGTTTTTCATTATCTCTTTCACAGACCAAGATTTTCACTGAATCTCCTTTCCTAGGTACTAGACCTGACAATTTTTCCAGCACAGTAGCCTGCCCTTAGCTATTCCACTTTGATTGGTAGATAAATCTGTTCATCCTGACACATGCTCTTTAATATAGTTCTTCTGCCACTGTCAGCAGGCAGAGTACAAACGGAAAACAAGAAGCACCAAGTTAACAATCAGTCCTTAGGCACAAGAATAAAATGTGTTTTGTTTGGTCTTTTCCTGGTTTCTACAGGCCAAATAGATGTCATTCAAACTCTCTCTTTAAATAAAAGATGTTAAATAAAAGATACAGTTCAGTTGCAGACTTGGGAAGCTCCCTTTGAGGATTTTTTTTCACTACAGACTTCCCCTCAGAGTTTGTGTTGCTGTCACTAGCCCTCAGCTGTTGGATAGTGGCCAGTAAATAAAGCTTTAGGAAGAAAAGACAAAGCTAGTTAATTTGAAAGAAAAACATGATTAATATGTTAAAAACCCCCTTGTACCAAGGCACCGTTTTGGAGAGCTGATGTGTGCTTTTCATAAGCTCCATCTTGAGGCATATTTGCGTGGATGTGGGAAAAGCATATTCTGGTCACCATATGCAACCTGTACATCTTCCAGTTCATGGCCTCACATGCTGAACCAGGAGGCTGTGCGGGCACAGGTAGTCTGAACAACCCTCTCAGCCAAAGGGGATGGCTGGGGACAGGCTACTGAGCTGAGCTTTGTGGATAATTATGTGGGTGGCTAATTAGGTGAGTGTTACATGGCACCATTTCAGAAATAGGATGGCGATCTCCTCAGAAGCCTGTGTTTCATTGTCAGGCTGCCACAGAGGTGCCTTGATGGTGGAAACGGGAGAGCCTCTTTTACCTGTGCAAGAAAAATGCGGAGCTTTGGATTTCTGGCAAAAGCGCTGGGTTTTGCCTCTTGTCTCTGGAATTCTATGTGAGAATGAGGGGATCGAAAAAGAATCCTCTCCTATCATTTACTCATTCAGGTAGCACAGATGAGTGATGTTGGCATTCACCTTGGTGACCCAGAGAAATAGAAAACCAAAATCTCAACAGAATGCTCTTGCTTCTGGCCTGGTTTATTGGAAGGGTAAATACTGAAAAAAAAAAAAATAGAAATCATTCTCTCTGTCTTGCCCAGGACTCTTGAAAAACAGTGGAGCTGCTTGAGATTTCCTGCTTTGCAGGGCACCTTTCAGTCTTTTACTTGAGTGGAGTGTTCCGATCCCTAGGAGATATTTTGAGTTCCTAAGTTTTGCAGAGACTGAGAGCATGTAACCTGTTTTACAGGAGCTATTGCTATTTACTCTTCATCACTTCTGTGACTGACAAGTATGGGATCACCTGCCCATGAGATGTAAAAACCTCATCCTAAAAGTTAGAAATTAATTAAACATTTAATATTTTCTGTCCCTCCAAATGTTCTTGTCAGTGTTCCTGCAATTTTGGATCCCCTTAGTTTATGATACAAGCTGCCAATTAGTCTTTGACTCTTGGTACACCCCATTAAAAGGCACAGCAGCTGTATTCCAGTAGGCATAATCCTTTTCCCTTCCCAGCTCTCAGCAGTGTCACATCCATTGCTGTGCAGCCCTTCTCATGTTACCTGTGTGGCATGTCCCTTTGCTCCGCAACGTGCTTGCCAGTCTCTACCTGTGTGTGTAACCCTGTCATCATCAGGGCTGGTTCCAACACAAGTATAGCACGTGGCTGCCATAGGGAGCTGACAGACTGTGGCAGAATAGCCAAGCTTCTCCTATGGAAGCAGATTGGGAGAGCTGGGCTTGTGCAGCCTGGAGAAGGCTCTGGGGAGACCTTAGAGCAGCTTCCCGTGCCTAAAGGGGCCGACAGGAAATCTGGACAAGGCCTGTAGTGACAGGACAAGGGGAATGGCTTTAAGATGACAAAGGGTAAATTTAGTGTTAGATATGAGGAAAAACATCTTCCCTGTGAGGGTGCTGAGGTGCTGGCACAGGGTGCCCAGAGAAGCTGTGGCTGCCCCATCCCTGGCAGTGTTCAAGGCCACGTTTGACAGGGCTTGGAGCAACCTGCTCTGGTGGAAGGTGTCCCTGCCCATGGTGGAGCTTTGGAACTGGATGAACTTTAAGGTCCCTTCCAACACAAACCAGTCTGGGATTCTATATGGCAGAGACCTGGAAGGCAAGACTTGGCTGCTGATGCCTGGTTTGGGGCAGATTGCAAAGGGAAAGCAGCTCTGTATCATTTCCCCTATTGCCCATGGCAGGGACCAGCCAGCCGCCGGCCATGAGACAGCAATATTTCATGTTGCTAATGATGATGGCTATTGAGCATTATTTCTTCATCATGTGAGGAAAAAGTTCTTTACAATGAGGGTGGTGAAACACTAGCCCAGGTTGCCCAGAGGACTGGATGTGGTTCTTGGTCAACCTGATCTAGTTGAAGATGTCCCTGCTCCTCGCAGGCAGCTCGGACTAGGTGATCTTTGAAGGTCTCTTCCAACCCAGACTGTTCTGTGATCGTGAGATACATGCAATACCTGCCTAGCCACATGTCCTTCACTGCCACAGGTCTCCAGTGCACAACTGCGATGAAGAACTAAGCCCATTTTCCCCACTGCATGAATAGGGCAAAAAAGAGCTTTAGGAAGCTGGCCACGACGTTCTGATCATGAAGCTTGGCTCTGGCAGAGGTAAAATCCTCTCTGTTGGTGCTCCAGCTAACAGTGCCGCTGGTGACAGCTCCCCTCCGCTGCCGACGCCATTTTCTACCCTGCTGCCCGCTCTCCCCTTCCCTTTTCTTTCTGGCCGTTAAGCGTTCCTGGGGAAGCGCCTCTTTGGACACCTCCTTTATCGTTACAGAAGTGGGGATCCGTTTGGGTGACACGTTTGGTCTGCCCTCGCCGGGATAACGGACAACACCGCTGCCGGAAGGGCCGGCAGGCACAGGGAGAGGCGGCAGGAGCCCGCCGGACTACATCTCCCGGCGTGCCGCGGGAGCAGGCGGGCCGGGAAGGGGCGGCTGGCGCGGCCGGGCACCCGGAACCAGCTGAGCGCCGCGGGCCTCTCTCTCCACGTTCTTCCCCGCAGGCTGTGCTGCGCCGGGAGCCGCCCGCCATGTCAACGGTGGCCGCCGCCAGCTGCGACGCCAAGGGCGCGGGGGAGCCGCAGGCGGAGAAGAAGCCGCTGAAGCCGTGCTGCGCCTGCCCCGAGACCAAGAAAGCGCGGGACGCCTGGTGAGGCCCCAGCCGGCGCCGCCGGGGTCTTGCTGTGGGCTGTGGTGGCCCCGACCGCCGGGGCGGGCGGCAGCTCCTGTGCGGTTACTGCCCTCCGGGGGCGCGGCCCACAGCCGAGCTGCTTGGAACGGGCGGTTTAGCTTTAACCCGTCCTCAGCCCGCTTCCGCCCTATGTGCGCGGTTTGGGCCGGTGCGTTCCCCTCCCTGCTGCCTTCCAGGAGTTCCTGCCCTTGACAACGTTGCCGGGGTGATGCTGGGAGCTCTCCCCAGCACGGACGGAGGGTGCTGGAGCAGCCAAGAGTGATGGGAGAGGGAGGAGGAGAACGTGCTTTAAAGGGATAAATTCGAAATTAAGAGATTAATGTTTCATAGCCCTGGTTTAAAACAGGTTTCAGAGATTAGCTTTTAATGCTGCTTACAAATCTTCCCTACTGTTAACTGACTAAAGCAACGAGTACCAGCAGGTAGTAGCATTTTTATTGTTTAATTAATTACAAGTGCTGTTTTCTTAAGTAAGATATTTTGGGGTTTAGGTCTCAGGATGACATTTTTCATAGAGGTGAAAACTTGATAATTAGATATATAGCTGCATTTATAATTTCTTTGTTTTTAACCTGATAGGCGGTACATTGGTTGTTCGGTAGGTGACATGATGCCGGACACTGTATTTTGCTGAAGTTAGGGCTGTGTGTGTAGTTATGTGGTAGAGTGAAGGTGAGTCCAGGGCTCCATGTGAAAAGAGTGGTAGGATGCAAGTACTGGGTCAGATGGTGCTGTCCAGGGCAGCCAGCAGACCTGGCCCTACTTAGTGTAATTAAGCTTAAAGCCTCTTCCCTGTGAGGGTGCTGAGGTGCTGGCGCAGGTTGCCCAGAGAAGCTGTGGCTGCCCCATCCCTGGCAGTGTTCAAGGCCAGGTTGGACACAGGGGCTTGGAGCAACCTGGTCTAGTGGAAGGTGTCCCTGCCCATGGCAGGGGGTTGGAGCTGGATGAGCTTTAAGGTCTCTTCCAACACAAACCATTCTATGATCAAATGATTTAGAAAATAGGATATTTTAATTATTCACAATTTGGTATGGCAAGAATGACATAACATGACATCTGAGGGTTGATCAGGCCCATGAATTGTGCTTTGCAGAGTGTTGAAATCCCTGCCTCTGGGGACAGGAAGCACTTCGGTCCATCAAAGAATGAGTCTGAACCACTTTTGTGGTATACATGATACATAAGTGGTGCTAGGTTCTTACCATTATTTGGATACATGTTAGACACTTGGATGGATGAGTAATATCAAAAGTTACCTATGTGGTGAATATTTTTTTTAGCAGTTGCTGGGCAGGGCTTTTTTTCCTTCAGGTTCCCTGAATACCAACTGAAGCTGGACTGAAGCATCATTTACTGGTCACTCTGTTCTGTACTGGTCTCTTACTGGAGAAATTTTGTGGCTTCTGTACCAAATGATTTGAACCTGGTTGCAGGCAAGATCGGCATACTTGAAGTGATGTGACAGCTTCGTGTTGTATAACAAATCCCTGTCTAGACTTGCCCAGAATAGTCACAGGCCTGTTAATAGGAAAGTCTATTACATATTTCATCAGATATTTAGGTATGTAGCTTCAGACTGTGGCAGCTTTCTGAGAGGTATAAAGTTTTTGGCAAGTATAGTACTGCCCTGAACAGGATAGGCAAAAAGATCTCTGAAGCTGAATAGGGATTTCTAATTGTCTCCAGCAGCTTGTCAGTTCTGCGGCTTTGACTAATAGTAAGCAAACATTTTGTTGTTGAACCTTGGAAATCACTTTGTTTTGCAGCATCATTGAGAAGGGCGAAGAAAATTGTGGGCACCTAATTGAAGCTCACAAAGAGTGTTTGAGAGCCCTGGGCTTCAAGATATGAGATGAGCAGGACTGTGAATGTGGTGAGTACAGCCTTCAGGACCTCTGCCTCTGAAGTGCCCTGGTGTCTCAGTTATTGCCGCTGGAAGGCCCAGAGTACTGTTCATGATGGCAAAAGTGTCTTCCTTGTGAGAGGGAAGGCAAAGTACTCCTTACTGACCCTGGAGTGCTCATGAGGGTGGTGAAGCTGCCTGGCAGCATACAGCCTTTGTGAGTAGCTCTTCAGCAGCAGAGTATGGTTCTGCCTCTGTTGTCTTCCAGTAGATCCAAACTTCACCGTGGATATCTAATGCCAGCGTTTTGTGGGTTTGTTGGTGGTTAGTTTGCTTGGGGTTTTTTTATCTTTGAACAGTCCCTCAATATCCAGTGGAAATCCATGTTTTGTGAAGCTGTCTTTCCTCTCTCTTCTAGGTGATGTCTGTGGTGTGACTGTGTTCTGGAGAGCTGCAAAATAAATTATTTCTGCAAGTTACTTCACAGAGCAAATATAAAGAATCTATTTATAAAGAGTTGTTAATGATAGACTGTGCATCACATCTGTGGCTTTTCCACTGTTAGCTCTTGATCACTGCTATAGAAAATATATTTTTTCCTCTTAATAAAAGTCTGAAAATGACCAGTGTTCCTGACTTCTGTTTCTTTTTAAGTAGAGAAATGACACTGCTCCCCTCATGGCAAACAGGGCACTGTAGGAGTGGAGGGAGTGAGAAAAGCCTGCTTGCTCATTGACATGAGAACACAGGTTCCTCTGGTGTTGTGGTTGAACATATACGCCTTTGGTGGGTTTTCTCACTGATTCAAATTGAGAAATCATGCTAATAACACTGATCTGTTACTGCTTTCAGCAAAGTTGTGCTGGAGCTTGTAGTGCGGTTTGTGTTGGTGAATGTAACTATATTTGTACCAAAATATGACCACAGCCTTATGAAATGATCTTTCCTTAGACTCAAAACTGGATTTGCTTTCCCCTGTTAGAATTTTTTGAACTTCTTTTGAATAGCTTTACCCTAGGATTCAGGCTGCATTATTTCTAATTTTATCAAACTCAAATTCTTGAGCCAGTGGTTCATAAAGGGAAAGGGAGCAGAGGACTACAGATGTATGTACAGTAAATTTGCCTGAAAAGCAAGCTTTTTTATGCCAATTTTTGCTATGTTCAAGGTCTTGTGCTAGGTGTGCATGGGCTTGTATTTTCTAAATGTTTTTTTCCTCACCTGTGTGAGATGACAGTGGGAGGGTGGTTGTGGCCTTTGATTCCTTTTTTGCAATGGAGCTGAAAGTGCAGTTGTTAATTTGTTACACTTGTGCAGGGACTTTGGTTTCATACTGTGTTGCTGTGCAACCCTAGTGGTGTTGGTCTTCCTTTGGTGAGTTGACTTTGCTTAAGACAGCATCACTGATTGCTTCCTTCTCCTGCTGAGTTTGCTTTTCAGAGACTTAAGATACAAAATCTGTGCTTTGTCTTGATCCTTTTCTTGGCTTTGATCCTGTTGGAGGGATGGGTGCAGTCATCGTTTCTCTGCTGGGTTCGTCATGTTTTGAGCAATGAGTAGCAATGAATAGGCTGTGAATGGTTAGAGTGCAGCACTTGGTGGTGTCTCTGCTGAGACTGTCAGGTTGTGTGAGGAGTTTTGACTGCTTCTGGAAATGTTTCATGAAGGTCCTGGAGTATGAGGAAATGCGCTTTAAAATGGCTGCCAAGGACAAGCTGGGCTTTTAAGACTTAGTTTTCTGCTGCTTGTCTACTCTCCTGTCTTGAGGTAAGAGTTGTGCCCATGTTGGTTTCCAGCCTATGAGAAGGAATGCATGCGGAGCAGGCTGGACAAGCCAGTCTGCTCTAGTGGAAGGTGTCCCTGCCTGTGGCAGGGGTTGGAACTGGATGAGCTTTAAGGTCCCTTCCAATACAAACTAGTCTGGGATTCTGTGAAGGCCTGTAGCTGTCTGGGGAGCAGGACCTGGCATTCCTCGTGATGTTTATTCTTATCTTGAGGTGGAAACTTAAATAATGCTATTTATTTTTGAATCAATGCATGCCAGAGCTTGAACTGAAGAGAACGTTAAAAGGTGGATGAGAGCCAGCTTTGTGGTAGCATGTCCAGTCTGGGTAAACCGTAGAAATGGTGTTACAGAGTAAAGAGTGGGGTCAGAGGTCATCAAGTGAGATGCAGTGCTATTAAATTGGGTCAAGAAAAGGAAAAAATGCGTTTACAGAATTTACAAATTCTGTAAACTCAAGAAATGCAACATCTTGGCATGCCTGAAGGTAAAAGCATGGTAAGATACTATGGAAAACTTTTGGAAGGAAGATGATGAGTGTGATCCTGTGATACCCATATACAACATGGACAGAAAGGGTACTGGACAGCTCTATACTTAAAGCAACAAAAACTTGTAGTCAAATCACATTTCTTGCTGCTACAGTTTTCCTGGGGAGTGGATTCAAAGCTTGATTTGGGGAGGGGGAGTGGGAGTTACTGGCGCTGTGTTACTAGTTACCAATAGAGCTGGTGAGACACTACCCTGCACAGGGTGTTTGATGTACCTGTGAGGGTGTGAAACGTGGCAGTAGCACGAAATGGGACTGAACTGTGTAGCAGTTCAGCTACATACAGTACATGTCCCTTTGTGATTCCCTATGAGGTAGTCTGGAGTAGGCTTCAGACCTTTCCCAACAGCTGTAAATCAAATGTGACTATATATGTGACTATTTTGAAGCTACAGGGTTTATTAGTGTGTAAGTAACAGCTTTGCAGACTAATGCTAGCGATGCACTACATAATAAATCAAAAAGGATTTTAATTACTACAGAAATCAAAAATGTCAGCCAGCTGCTGTGAGATTTGGGACTGATAAACTCTCAGTGAAGTGCTGCAGGACAGAGGATTTGTTTGACAAACATAGTGCAGCCTGTACCTGGATTGCATCATCTCACGGGCCTAAATATAATATGCTACTGGTTGAATTCATTGTAAGTGGGGAAACCAGTGGAGTATCTGTTTACAGATTGTTAGTTTCACTGCTGAAAAGCTTGACATGTCTATTTTATTTCTTCACAGACTCATTTTGCTGTAATGTCTACGTGTCTTCTTCCAGGGAATAGCGTTAATGCTGCTCAGGTGTTTTCTGTGCACTTGATCTCTTGATGTCAAATTGTTTTGGGCCTCGGTACCTCCCTTTTAATATTTGTATGGTTTTCCCCTGTGAACTGGTATTGGCTTTTGAATGCTCATCTTGGATGAACCCCAGCTTCCCTGGAGGGAAAGCACATGTTCTAACTCAAGGCAAGGTATGAAAATAGAATTTCTCTTTGGAAAATAAAGAGCTTTTTGAACTCGTGCTGGGTGGAAAACTGAAAGTGCTGTGGAGACTGTATGGCCACGGTGCACTCTAGGAAGAAAGGAAGATTTGAGCCTCGGTGCTTCAACCACTTTACAAATCTTCCTTATTTTATAAGAAAAACTGGGCCTGAGAACACCTAAATCAATCTCTAGCCTGTGCTCAGAGATCTACCTTTTAAAAGGCTATAGCATTCTCTCTACAGCATCACTTTCAGCCCCTGCAGAAAGGCTGTATGGTTTCCAGTGGGAGCTTGGTGCTGTTACTGCTGTGGGCTTAAAGCTTCCTATCTGCCTTCTGTAAGGAGGTCACAGCAGGCTGTCCTCATCCCTGGCAGCACTCTGACCCCAGCACGTGCCTCTGGGGTTACTGGAGCACCACTCTTTGTCTTCTGAAGGATGCCTGAGGTAACACCTTTGTCCTAACAAGTCATTAAAGTTGTGTTCCAGAGTATTTTCTAGCTCAGGAATTTACCCGAGGAGTGAAATTAGTAACTTTCTTTCTGGTCTCTTTCTTTGATGTTGTTGCAAAAGTTTCTTGGTAGTATGGAAAGGGGGGAGAAATTGCGATGTTGCCTCTCAGAATGCTTCCTCTAACATTGTTCTACACTGCTGTTCACAGCAGTTCAGTTTTGTCTCACAGGTCTTACGTGAAGTATCTTTCTCCTGAGTGTTCCCAGTCTTGACATCCCATATCCCTATTTTATCAACCGTCTGCCTATCTCAGAAAGAGGACCCCTTATAAGACTGATCTTTTTTCAGAAGCTTAAAGGTAGACAAGTTGTTGAGCTCATCTAGCAAGTACATGACAATGGCATGAAAAACAGAACTTGGCTCCTAAGGATTTTATTGTAGTGCTTCACCTATAAGATCATCCTTCCCTTTTTGCAGAGGTCAAGAGAAATCGGGTTTTTCATTTCTCCATACCTCTTGCAGCTGAGTCTTGTTCTGCTTCAGTCTGTAGGATTCATCTCTTATAAGGGACCACTGGAGAAAAGGTTCCCTGATTCACTTCACCCTTAACAGAAAGCATCTTTCTGAATGGATTGTACTCCCCTCCCTGTTAAAAGCTTAATTTGTCTTCCTTCCTTCACACATGGCAACCTGTCAAGATGGCACACACAGCTTTTGCTGTTCCTAGGAGTGATACCACTCTGTGTTATATGTGGCCTAACCATTGTAGAGGGAGATTGTACTGCCCAAGTTTGTGATGAATTTTTTCAGGCTGCCATAAAGCGTTGATTCAGCTTTGCCCAGTAGACAGTGTTATCCGGAGTGCTATTAGTAGAAGAGGCGATTAGTGTGTCTTTAAGTGAATGGTGCCAGTGGGAATGGCACGTTAGGCAGGGCAGCTGCAAGCTCGGACTGAAACACGACCACCCTTGAAACCCTATCTCTACTCCACTGACCCATGCAGGCTGACTTCATACTGTTGACTGACCGTGCGGGTTGCGTCAAAGCCTGAAATGTAACTGCTTCCAGGCAACAGGGCAGATCCTGCCTGTACGACTCACAACGTGTTACTCGAAGCAGGGGAGAAATTGCATCTATTCATCTTTTCTGTAGCTGACCACGGAGGACTGGACTCGGCAGGTCCCTCGTGCCTGTGTCCTGGGTTACCCAAGTGGGAATTGTTTGCTTTTCACATTGAATGAAGGTCTGAAATAGTTATGAAGAAATAAAAATGTGAGATGGCGTTTCCCGAGGATGCTTCCCTACAGAGCCTGTTATCTGTGGGGTGGGAGAATCCTCCCTCCACTAGGGTTTCCCCACCATGCATGCTCCCAAGTGTTACACTCTCGCAGTTGTAGGCAGGATAGTTTCCTCTTTGTGATAGATGAAGCTGGCCCCAATGGCTCATTTACTGTAGCTTTAAACTTGCTGCCGCAACTCTCTGCCTGTGCAGAGCTTTACCTTGTGCCCCTTGGCCCAAAACGCCGCACGAGATGGAGCTCCCTGGGGCACGGGGGAGGCTCTGCTGCCGCGCCTGGAAAGCATTTCTTGAGAACCAGCCTCCCCTGCTAAGTGCTGCAAGCCACAGCAGGAGAAGGGGGTGACCTTTTCCCTTTTTAGTGCTGGGTGACAGTCGCTCTCTTGCAGGAGCACAGAGTGGTGCTGAGCCCCATGTGTGGCCGGAGCTCGCTGCGATAAGCTGGTTGTTTTCCCCTCTCCTTTCCCCTCCTCGCGCTGCGCCGGGCTTATCTGGGTGCCTGAGTTATGTTAAGTAGCGGGTGCATGCTTGCTCTCTGTTCTCCTCCCTGCTTGTGCTCCTTGGATTTCA